TTTAGCGGGGATGGTTCATAAGGCTGATGCCTGGCATTGAACGTTCAAATCAGCAAACTTGCCAGGTTGTGTAGCAAGGGGGCCTAGGACTTGGCCTTTCACAGGACTCTAGCCCAGTGGTTCTCAACCAGGGGTGATTTTGCCCCCAAGAGTCCATTTGGCAATGTCTGGCGTTTTTAGCTTTCACAGCTGGAGGAGGGGGTGCACGCTCCTGGCATACAGTGGGTGGAGGCTAGGGACATTGCTGAGCAACCTGCCGTGCAGAGGACATCTCCACGACACACAGTGTCCCAGCCCGGTCGTCAGTGGTGTGTGCCAGCCGAGGGCCGAGGTTGAAAAGCCCTGCTCTGGAATTTACACCTATGCAGAGATGGCAGGCCGGTTTTGTTTAGTCTGCATGTTGGTGTTTATTCAGCTTTTTAGTTGGCTTGTCCTCGCTGACTCCCTTTCATCTCGTGGCCTTCGTGCATGCCCGTTTTGATGTTTATCTGCCTGCACCCTGTGGACATTTCAGTCTGCAACCGGAGGTCAGGGTTAAATTTAGTTCCCCTCCCGCCCCTTCCCTGGCAGCAGATTGGGGCCTGAGACACTCCTTTCTTGGCCCGCCAGACTTGTCCACCTGAGCCGCCAACAGCAAAGCCATGCTGTGCCGCATGCAGGACTGGCGGCTTCAGGGTGGGCGCGCGGGCTTTCTGAAGCCAGGCGGGTGGCGGGGTGGAGAGTGCCGGGGACTTGTTCTTAAGTGTCAGGAATGAGAGTGACGTTTCAGGCCATGCTGTCTGATGCAGGTCCATTTACGCCTCCCAATATGGTGTGCACTGCACAGAACTGGGGCGTATCCGGGGAGGACAATGAAAGCAGAGGAGGAGACACTGCACTGATTAGAAGTTCAGTTTCTGGAGTTGGTCAGAGCAGGGTTAAATCCGACCGCTGGCGGAGTGTCACAAACCCTGTCTAACATGGGCTGTGGGGGCAGTGACCATGACCGAGTACTTGGCAGGAGTGAGAAAGCTCTCGTGACGCTCCCCTGCCAAAGCGGGAATCAGCTTGCTCCCTGCCTGCCCTCTGCTTCTCTCCGTTTTGGGAGGGGAGGAGGAATTTAAAATGCAGGAAGTAATAGGATGATGGCAAGATAATAACTAAGCAGTAAAGTATTTTATTTTTTTTTATAAATACAGCTGCAAGCTGCCGGGCCTTCAGAAAGGCACTCGGCTAGCTCAGAGGAGCAGGCAAAAATGGAAACAGGAGAAAACAACATTGTAGAAAAACATAGAAACTATTTAAAAAGACAGAGGACAGAGAGCAGCATTCCTCTTCAAAACGGCCCTGGCTGTGGGGGCAGGGTGGCGTCCCATGTGTCACTTAATGCGCTGGAACGTTCCCACACACTGCCTTCCGCTTTCAACCTGCTGGGTAGGACTCTCGCCGCAGGACACACGAGGCAGCCGTGTGACAGCGGATTTGAATCCTGCCTCTGCCAGCTAATGGCTCCATGATCTTGGAGAAATCCTTTAATCGGCTGAAGGAGCCATGTGGAGGAAGTTCTTGTAGGTCGTTGCACTGCTGCTGGAGTTCCAGGCTTAGCCCTGCCCGGGCAAGCAGGACTCAGAGTCTGTTGCTAATGGTCTGCCCAGGGCCCTGTCAGCACTCTGCCTTCAGGGGCCCCTTCCTCCATAAAAAGAAAACGATTTAAAACTCCTCTATTTCGTGACTGCACTGGTATGAAGACAAATATAATGCAGGCTGATTTATATTTATTCTTCTGATTTTTAAACAAAATTAAAACATTTCACTGGCCCCTAAAAGTACCGTGGGCCCTGGGTGCTGTGCCTGATGAGGTCACCTTGTCCACCCCGGCCCACTGAACTGCAGAGGAGAGCTTTCTATCCGGCATCGCTAACTTCTAGTCCAAGGTAAAGCGACACAGCTTGTATTGAATAACCAGTTTTCTGAACAAGGGCCTTTCTTCTCCCCAAATGCCTTCCCATGAGCGCCAGCCCCTCAGAGCTCTAGGCAAACGGCAGCCCGCTTTGCCAGTCGGTGAGGGTGGTCACGAGAGCTGTTCTGGCCCCTGCGTTGTGGTTCCTGGTCTCCTGGGTCGCCCTTGCTCATGCTCTGGCCTCTCTCCCCAGGAACACCATGGAGGCGCTGCCAGCCTGCCTGCTCCGGGATGTGGTCCAGGAGGCCCGGGGCGTGGCCGTCATAGGCATCGACGAAGGGCAGTTTGTGAGTTGGCTTGTTCGGGCAAACTCCCCTGTCTGTCCCCCTATTTCATCTTTGTTTTGTTCTCTGGTTTAAGCTGGGTAGCAAATGGTAGGTTGACCAGCAGCTATCCTAGCAGTTCATGCAAAGGCTGCATCGCTCTACTGTTTACCCTCTGGACAGGTCCGCGGTCTGTTGTGTCTCAGAACAGTGTGTCCTGGAAGGTTTTGTTTTCACTTACCCAGCTTTGTATTCCATGTGCCTTCTAAATGCAAGCACTCAAGCCTCTGGTTCACCTCAGCCTGTGAGGTGTTCTGGGTAGTACATCCCAATGTGTGTTTGGTTTTGATGACTCAGTTTTCACTTCTGGGATTTCTGGCTCGTTCTTTTTTTTTTTTTTTTTTGGTGCCTGTTACTCCAATTCACATACACTCATTTGTCTTTAACAATTTACTGTTGGTTTTCTTTTAATTGATGCAGTTCTCTTCCATAGTCATTCTGAAAATCTTCTTTTATGGTCTTTCCAGCCCCCTCAGTTTCTGTTGCTGCTTTGGAGCGCGCCCTCTGGCCCAGTAGGCGGCTTATCTCTTATGGCCTTAGGTTTTCTCCTGTGCTTTGGAACTTTTTGTTTCTGCAAGTTGAATGAATGGAGCTAAAATGTACTCCCAAAGGGGCCTGCTTCAGTGCTTAGTGGTATGGTTATCTCCACCCAGTACATTAGGGTAACGTACCTGCTGTAACAAACCCAAAATGTCAGTAGCTTAATGGGATAGAAGCTTACTCCAAGTCAGTGGTGGGGAGGCCTGCCGACAAGGTCCCTGTCTTCACACGTGGCTTCTAAGATTCCCTGGGTGGCCACATCCAATGGTGGAAACAGGAAACGGTAGGGCCCCCTGTGCGGGAGCCAGGCTAGAAGTGTACGATGCATTGCCTCTGCTGACCTTCCACCCCTGGAAACCGAGCACATGGGCCCCTGAACTGTACAGCTAGTCTCGATCTGTGCCATGGAGGAAGAGGGAATTGCAAATTAAAGATATTTTTTTGTTTGTTTGGTAAGTGGTTAGCGATCTCTGCTCGCCCAGGGCAGAACCAGGCGGCTGGAGCTGTATTCTGATTTTTTTTCTTTTTTTTTTAATGGGGAATTGGGGAAGGGGAACAGCCAAGTTGTTGTCCTTCAATCTTAGTTGTAGAGGGCGCAGCTAGCTCAGTTTCAAGTCCAGTCACCATCTGGCCGCTCGTCAGCAGCTCATGGCTGCTCAGCTCAAGGTGCCGTGTTCAATCTTAGTTGTGGGTGGGCTTAGCCCACCATCCCATGTGGGAGTCGAACCGGAAACCTGTTGTTAGGAGCACAAGCTCTCACCAGCTGAGCCATCCTGCCACCTGTTAGCAGCTCACTGGCCCATGTGGAAATCAAACCGGTGACCCTGTTGCTCAGAGCTTGCGTTTTTAATCTACTGAGCCACTCGGCCGGTCCTCTTCTGATCTTTAAATGAAATTAAAACACTTCATAGGACGCTACAAGGTGCTGTCCTATGTAAATCACAGCCCCACACCTTGTTCCCACGGTGAGGCTGGTAGGTCTCCCACGCCCGAGTGGGGGTGGATCCTTTGGAGTCCCCACCCCACCTTCCTGAGGGTTGGCACGCATGTGCTTCTTCGTGATTCCAGGCGACACAGAGGCTCTTGGGTTGCTTTGTGGAAGTCTTTGGCATTTGGGGAGATGCATCTGAAGACCCCCAGCCGCAAGCAGAGGGTGTAGGCGGTAGGTGGGCACCCTGGCTGCAGAGCACACCAGCCTCGCAGCCGTCACCACTGCGTGTTGGTTAAAGGCTTGGCAGTAGCAGAAGTCATGATTTTAAAAACCTCTTTCCGTGTTTCATCTCTCCTGCACTACACAGTAATAACATGTGTAACCTAGAAAAAGTTAGGATTCCACATGAGAGGAAAGCCCATAGTTGCCTACTGTCGGCGTCTTCTAGCCCGAGACCACCAGGACCGCCCCAGAGATGGATGGGTTGGAAGAACACACTGTGGGACCCGGGGGCATCCCCAAAAAGCTGGAGAGGACTTGTGTTGGGTCACTGGGGAGGGCATTAGAAGCAGGTTTAGCTCTTGATGCATTGTCCTCGGGAAGGGGGGTGACTCTGTGACCAGCATCTTAGGCCTTCTCTCTAGGGAGGGTGGACCAGAGGAGGCTAGAGCCGTGCTTGGTAAAACAGCAGTGGTCACTCCTGGGAGCCAGGAGAGGGGTTTGGTACTTTGTTCACAACTCAGTTTGAGCTCAGACGTGATTATGGAGGGTCTTGTTTTTGTCTTGATCCGTCACAGTCACAGAGCGGCCTTGCCTGGTGTTCACATTCCGTGAAATTAATTATGTTCAGTAGGATAACATCAAGGCCTGGCTGTGAGTGCGAGGCCGGCTTCTGCTGCTGGGGCTGCTTTTCTCTTTTCACTGCCCAGGAAAACAAAACAAAAACCACGCGACGTGGTCTGCGTCCTTCCAGTCTTTGTAGATGCATATTTTGTTATAGATTGGGCTCATATCACACAATGACCATTTCTCCACGTCAGCAAATACCCATCCTTATGAATATGCCATATCTTCCTTAAGCCAACCCCTGTGTGTGGCGTTTAAAGGCTGTGATGGACATCTCGGGCTGCCGTCTGCTGTACTGGGATTTCTCTACCAAGTGGAACTGCTGGTCAAGCAGCCAATCTCATTCATTCATTATTTTCTGAGCTTGTGTCACATGGGAGCAACATTCTAGGTGTTGGGGATACAACCTGAGTCTCCGCCCTTGAGCTCACATCCTCTCAGTTCTGGAAGTCTGTAATGAAGCTGTGGGTGGGGCTGGTAGGGCTGAGGCTGTGAGGGAGGATCTGTTCCAGGCCGCTCCCCAGCTGGGGCTTGTAGACAGCCGTCTCCTCTCTGTGTCTTCACGTTGTCTTCTCTCTGTCCGTGTCTCTGTGCAAATGGCCCCTTCTTATAAGGACCCCAGTCATTGGATCAGGGTTCACCCTCCTGACCTCACTTTAGCTGGATGACCTCTGCCAAGACTATCTCCAAATAAGGTCACATTCTGAGGTATTGGGGGTTAAGGTTTCCAACATATGAATTTGGGGGGGTAAGAGGGGACACAATTCAACACATAACATAACCTACAAAACTAATGGCAATAAATGCCAGTGAGGTGGTTACCAGTGGACATTTGGAAATGCTACAGATGCCTGGGTGGCTCCATCCTTATCGTTGGTGGCTTGGGCACCCCTGCTGGGGCTCAGGGTTCAGTGTTCCTGGGGGGTGGCATGTGAACAGGGGACAAAGCGTTTAGGTGGAGGAACTGGCTCTTTGTATGGGCATCAGTGTTGGGGGAGGGGGGTGAGGACCCTCCTAGCGTCCCTAAACTCTGGTGTGGAAGGGCCTGTGTCCTGACTTATGTCTGTGTGGGTGGTTAGCTGCAGGGGTGCTTCACCCAGGGGGGTTTGCCCTCCGAATGTGGCCACTTACATTGCTCTTGGTTTTTCTAACCACTTTCATGGTCCTGGTCTTGCTAAGTGCTCGGGTCTCAGTGACCTTGTACCCTCAGTAAAGGGGCTGAGTCAGGCCTGAGCGGCTTGGAGAGAGACCCTTTGCCCAAAGTCCCTTCGCCCAACACAAAGACCAATCTAGACAGATAAACACCCTCAACTGAAGGCAATATGATTGACCAATGAAAAGTCACCAAAGGATTGGTTTAAATAGCAGCCTCGCCCTAAAATGAAATTTGGTTTACCAAGTAATGACCTTTCTGCAGGCCCTGTCTTTAGAAGGGCGTGCTGTGTCATCCTGGCATCACATGGTACATTGTGTTAAAAAAGGAATTGGTAAACCCAGAAACAGCCCACCTGCCTACCAGCCAAACAGCATAATTAATTGAGGGCCTTTAATCCTTGACACCAAGGGCCTTTCTTACCGTTTCTTAGGCTCAAGAACATGAAGTCATTGCCAAGGTCACACAGCTAATGGGTCCAACCGAGAGCAGGTTCAAGCGCCAGGCAGCCCTCTGGCCTGAGCATGCACAGCCATGGGCAGTGGGGGCTGAGTGCAGGAACACGCCTCTCCAGGCGGGGGTCCGGGCAGGAGGGTTGGAGACGCTGTTTGTGTCCACGCTGAGCCGGGTGGCTGGAGTTCTCGGGTCCGGCAGCATCTTCTCCGTGGGCTCCCGGAAGCTGCCGCTCCGGGTGGAAGCTCACTCTCTCCTCCGCCCACCCTTTCCAGTTCCCCGACATCGTGGAGTTTAGTGAGAACATGGCCAATGCTGGGAAGACCGTGATTGTGGCCGCACTGGATGGGACCTTCCAGAGAAAGGTAAGGCGCCCGGGCCAGGTCTTGGGATGAGATCCGGGAGAGCGGAAAGGGCCTGGTCAGGCACAGGGCCGTGCACAGAGACGGCCGGCCCAGCCAGCCTTTTCTCCTCCCCAGTGCAGTGCTGCCTGGGTGACGGGGCTTTCGCCAACCCCAGGCACTCAGACCAGCCAGACCCAGCTCCCTGGTTTGCCTGGGAGCGAGTCCATCCCAGACTGGGTGCCCTCTGGCAGAGGGTGGCGCTCAGGGGAAAGCAAGGTCAAGGCAGTTTCCTGGCTTCGGTGCTTGTGAAGCAGAGGGTTTCAGAGACAAACCCGCCTGGCGAGGTGAGTGTGCGCACCTGCTGTCTTTCCCTGGCATGTAGGCTTTCGGGACCATCCTGAACCTGGTGCCCCTGGCGGAGAGCGTGGTGAAGCTGACAGCGGTGTGCATGGAGTGCTTCCGCGAGGCCGCCTACACCAAGCGGCTGGGCACCGAGAAAGAGGTACTGCCACCCGACTTCTCCGAGGGGGCGGGGGCGGTCCGGAGGCGCTGTGTCCGCTCAGTCCGGGCCCTTCGTGTCCCCTGGGCCAGGTCGAGGTGATTGGAGGAGCAGACAAATACCACGCCGTGTGCCGCCTCTGCTACTTCCGGAAGGCCTCAGGGCAGCCGGGGCAGCCCGCCGGACTGGACAGCAAAGAGGAGAAAGAGAACTGCCCGGCGCTGGGAAGGCTGGGGGAGACCAAGCCCGGGGAGGCGGCGGCGGGAACCAGGAAGCCGTTTGGCCCGCACCAGATGCGCCAGTGCAGCCCTGCCAACTGAGGCCTGGGGGAGCCAGCGCCCCCTGGCGGATGCCTGCCCCCTGCACGCTGAGCAGCCTCTCCAGAGGAGGAAGTCCTGGGGGAGGTTTCACTGGCATTTGGAACTTCCAGCAGGGCTGCTGGTCTGCAGTCCCGTTTCCCTCCACCGGCCTTTCTCAGTTCCCTTCCCAGCTGCTGGGCCATCATGACCACCCCAGGCTGGCGCTGGCCACTGCTGACACCACTCCTCCTCAGGGGTGAGGGGCAGGCCACACGCTGTGACATCAGCACTGCCGGCTTCTTCCCGCTCTGTGGCTTTCACCGTTAGGTTTCTGTTCTTACTGGGAAGCACCTCTGGCTTAGCGCCGAGCCACATTCCACGCAAAGGCTCCGTCCCTCTGCCTGGGACAGGCTCCCGGCCTGAGGATGGTGGGACTTGTGCCCTCGACTTGCTTCCCTCTCAGCTGGAAGTCCTGACTGTTCTGGTGATCGCCTTCTCAAGAATTACAGCTTTCTTCACATAGGGGACACCCTGCTGGGGCTCAGATCCCAGGGCTTTGCTTGTCTTTTAAGGGGGGCCTGGGGGCAGGGTCCCTGATTCTTCTGTTGTGAGATTAATAACTAATGTTAAAATGTACTGGTTGTTGGAAGCACATTTCTCTTTAGTGCCTGGGATTCCCTGGGTCGCACTGTAGACACTCCGACGTGATTTGATGGGGATTTCCTTCCTGATCTTTTTCTAGTACCACTGCTCTTAGCCACAACCTTTTAACTGAGAGATGATCGTGACGTGTGTCCTAAGAGGAACATTGGCCTGCTCTTCTGTCCGGGTGGGTTTCAGGACAGAATGGGTGGACACGAGAGCCTGGGGCCCAAATTGGAAAGATGAGGAGGCCGTGGTCGGTGCTGCCAGCTGGGGCTGTGAGGTCAGGTTTTGTTTGTGAAACAGACACTGGACAGTTCAGGAGCCAAGAAAACTAGCTCAGCTGTGGCTCAGGCAGCTCACTGTAGGCAACAGTCTGCTGGGGTGGGGGTGGGGTGGGCCTGGGCTGTCCGTGTGCCCCATGCAGATGGGGTCGGGGTCCCAGGTTACACTGGGGTATAGTACAGCGGTGAGGCTGCAATTCACAGAACGCTATTCGTTTTTACTCAGGATTTTGAAATGATCAGGGCCCACTTTTGACAGCTCCCTGTCATTGCTCAAAAAACGGAAGCCGGGAGCTACTTCAAGGGGCCCTGGCGTCTTCTGAGGGGGTGTGCTCACTCCTCTGGGGCTCGGGGCTCGGTGGCCACGCCTGCTTCTTGCCCTGTCCAAGGAAGGGTTCCAGAGGTGCTCAGCCCTTTCTGCAGGAAGTAGGGGCCCCTCCCAGGGTGTTCCTCCCTCCACTGTGGGGGGCAGGAAGGAAAGGGTTACTGGGGAAGAGGCATTCGGAGAGCCAGCTCCCAGGCGCCCCCACCAAAACGAGCAGGGTGCAGGCGGCCCTGGCAAGGCCGCCCAGAAAGCCCGGCTTGTTTACAGGCTGAGCACAGAGGCTATTTTAAGACGCTGATGGCGGGCACTGTGAGAAATGAGACCCCAGACGGGGAAAGGGCAGCCTGCCACCGCCTTGTTCAAAATGCAAGTTCCATGAAGCCACCCCCAAGGGTGTCCCCCAGAGTGGGACTCCTCCTACCCCCAGGCTGAGGCTCAACCAATGACAGTGGAGATTTATGAATGAGAAAACATTTATTCCATCTTCAAACCAGTCTAACACAACCCAAGGGTGCCCTGTGTCTTCCCCCAAAGCTTTTTAACACACTCAGAACAGCCTGGGGGCTGTGGGTGCACCCCACACCTCCTAACAGTGGCAGGATATATACATAAAGCTGGGTGCTGTCGGGCAAAGCCCCTCCCTGCTGCCAGGGGATGGGAGCACAGAGCAGGAAGTGCTGCCCAGTGTCCCCTGGGGTGGGCACCAGCCCTGCCCCATGGCTACCAGGATGGTGGCCCAGAGGCACTGGCATCGGGTAGTGACTCCAGATCCACGAGTGAGCAGACACGCAGTGAGCACGGGCTGCCTGCTCTAGGGCAGGCGGGGGGCACAACTGAGCCAGGGGCGGGAACAAACCTGAGTGAAGAGGAAGGGCGCCCCAGCCCTGCACCAGCCGCGGAGCAGGTAGAAGACCCCCCAGTCTCATCTTTGGCAGAGAATCCCAAGTCACTGCAGCCACCGTGGCTGGGCCGGGGAGAAGCTAAGGCACTTGGCGAATAGTATGTCAGGCACTTCTGGCTACTCCAGGGGGGTGGGGATCATCACAAGCAATGACAGACGTCTAGCTAAAAACACTTTTCTAAAAAGTGCCCTTGAGGAGGGGTGGGGCAGCCCTTGGGCACGGGCACTTCAGGGCACGGGAGGCAGGGGCTCTCTAGGCTGCGTGTGGCTCTGGCAGGCACCGTTTTGGATGAGACGACCTGGCAACTCCAGGAGGCAAACCTCGTGGGAGGAGTTCAGGATGGAGGGGTGCCCCCCAGGCACCCTCCCTGCGCGCCTTACCATCCCCGCCGCAACTCAGTACACAGGGGGTGGCTGGTAGCCCTCGGTGGTCTCAGCATTCTGGGTAAAGGGCGGCTGTTGGTAGCTGTCCGCAGGCGGGCCTGGGTAGGAGGTGTAGGCCGTGCTGGGGTCTGGAGTGGGGTCCACGTAGTTCTGGATGAAGTCGTCCACCCCGGCCTTGTAGCGCTGGTAGGCCAGAGAGGCCAGCACACCCTGCAGGGAGCGCCGAGGCTGGGTTCCACCACCACCCTGCACCGGAACCCTCCACTACCCTTCACCAAAGCCACCAGGACCCTGGCCACCCGGTCCACCTACCCAGGAGAAGATGGAAAAGAAACTGAAGGTGATGGCTGCGCGGGCTGAGTCGGCTCCCACCAGCACATCTTCCGGCTTGGTGGCCACCCACTGGTTGGTAAGGAAGCAGAAGCCAACGAACCACAGGAAGGTCCAGAGAGCTGGGGAGAGGCCGGGGAGGCCAGGGTTGGCTCCGTGGAGGGGGCAGGGATCTCCCAGAAGCCTCCAGGAGTGTAAAGGGCACTGATGCAGAAGCCAGGGTAGGGACTAGATGCCATCCGAGGAGGCCCGGCTCCCCAGCCCTGCGCTTGCCATTCAACACCAACGGCTTTCAGATGTTCAGAAATCCTGCGTGCAAGCCTGTCTGCGCAAGTCGGGCTGGGGACCCTGTGCCCCCTCCCGCCCCTCCCGAGGGCACTGAGGCCTCCAACTCCTATTCACCTCCCGAGATCAAATGGAGGTGCCCCTGGCAGATACCTGAGAAGAGCAGGTCGCCGATGACCAGGTACTTGCGGTCAGTGGCATTGCTGATCTGGGGGAAATAGGCGTCGACCACAAAGAAGAAGGCACAGGCGAGGAAGGCGAGCACCCCGATGGCACTGCCGTAGCGGCAGGCGTCCTCGTTGCGGTTGAACACACAGTATCTCTGTTTGGAGTCGTGGGTATTGCTGTAGCCCTCGCCAAAGATGCAGGAGAACACTATCAAGGCGAAGACCTGGGGGCAGAGGGGGGAGGTGAGAGGCTACGGGCAAACCCCACAGGGCACACGTAATGGGGAACACTAGCCTCTCCCACTGCCACGGTTCCCCTTGAGGAGGTCGGCATCGAAGCCCCTTCCGAGCTTGGGGAATGGACTGATAACCAAGTTGCTTCCTGGTGCAGAGTCCCTCCATTCTCACTTCTGCCTTCTCCTGGGTCCTCTTCAGATACCAGACCTCAATTGCCATCACAAGGGGCATGGTTGGGAGTTTCTAAACTGGGGACATGTGGGAAAAGCCTGGGGAATCTCCTGGGAGGGGACTTCCCTGCCCCAGCTGACTGTCTGAAGGGGTCATCTGGGTTAGCTTCATGATGGGGATTCAGGGCAATCTGCCCACCCCCACTTTTAATGAGCTTTAAACAAGATAAGCCACAAAATCATAGAAACGTAGGCTTGGCGTCTCACCCTGATCTGCCTGAGACACCACTACAGTGCCCGACCTCTCTGCCTGGACGCCCCAGTAATGGGAGACGCCCCACCTCTTGGGAAAGCCACGCCAGGGCGCTCTGAGCCCCTCCAACGCTTCCCTGCTCCAAGCTGGCCTCCCCAGTTTGGCCAGCTTTCTTCCTATAAGGACTTCCGGCCTCTTCGGCCCCCCCCCCTAAAAGGAAACCCCAGTCTGCCTCCTGCAGAGAGTGGGTCCTGCCCACATAGGCGTGTCTGACCAGCAGGCCTGTGGATACAGCTCTGCACTCGTGGAAGTCCTGGGCTGGGGGTGGAGGGGGGCTCCAGGAGGGGCTCCAGGCCCATGGGAACAGCCTCAAGTCGCCTGGTCCTCTCCCCAAACTCAAGCATCTCCCATCCCCACCCCAAGTCGGCAGATGTAGGGCTGCCTGCACACCTGGCTCCCTCTGGGGACAGGCCCAGGCCTCTGCCCTGCCCTGCCAGGCCTGCCTGCACGAGGCCCTCTCAACAGGCTCCGGAGCTGGCAGTCACAAGCCCCACCCCCAGCAGGAGATGAAGCCGGAACTCCGGGATGCTGGGAGCAGTGTGCCAGGCCCAACTCCTGGCACTACCATCCCGACACATAGGCCATCTGCTCACGGGGTCAGACCCCCCCAGGGAGGGGGTATGGGCACCTCAAAAGGCTGCAGTTCCAGGCAGGTGTGGTGTGGGCACCTGGCAGGCTCGGCCCGCTGCCTCCCACCTTGTCCGACTTTGGATGCCAGTTGTCCAAGAACATGGGACCACCCCCTCCAACCTTCCCACCCCAATAACCTGGTGCTGGAGGGATTGCCTAGTTCACGGGGAGGGGTACATCTTAGGGTCACGCGATTTTGGGTGAGGAAGCAGACCTGTGGGCTGCTCCTGAGTGGGAAGGAGACCGTGTTTCAGGGCCGGGCCGGGCCGTTACACCCACACCCGGCACCCCACGTGGCTTCGGAAAACCCCTTCCGGGTGAATTCCCCCCAAGCTCCAGTCGTGGCGTGCCGGCCACCTGTCCTGGAACTGCCCCAAGTTCCTCCCACTGCCAGCAGGTTGACGGGCCTGCTCCCCATGGCACCTCCCGGCCACCCCGCGCCCAGGCCCGGGGGTGGTGGGGCGCCCGGACCTAGGGGCGGAGCTGGGGTCGGCGAAGTCCCGGGGTTGAGGGGCGGGGGGTGGCGGATCCCGACCCCGCGCGCTGGCCCTACGCTGGCCACCACCTGCTGCGCTGGTAGGCTGCGGCTTCCCCCGCGGGGCCTGGGGCAGAGTCGAGTCCCCGCGGCCCCGGTGGCCCCGCCGACTCACCGCGCACACGGCGCGCACCACCACCTGCGGCTGCGTCAGGTAACGCCGCAGGTCGAAGGAGCCGCCCGCCTTGGCCGCGCCGTAGGCCCCGCTCTCCATGTCGCCGTCGCTGTCGCCTCCGCCGCCGCCGCCGCCGCCGCGGACCGCCGAGGAACCAGCCGGGCGCACCGCCCTGGCCCCGCCCCCTGGGCGTGGCCAGCGGGGCCCCAGGGACCGAGGGCAAAGTGCGGGCGGGAGGCGGGACGCCCCGACGGCAGGGACTGCGTTTCCAGCCGCAGAGACGCGTCCGGCCGCCAAGTGCTCATGGTCCGGTCCCACGGTGGACCGAGGTCTGGGCCCTCGCTACGCAGGCCCGCGGCGCGACCCGAAAGGGACCAGAGGGTCCCCAGGAGAGAGGGACTCAGGGAGAGCTCGGATCTCGGCCCCACCCACCCTTTGCCCCTGCGCTCCCGCCTCCTTCACCAGGAAGCCCCGCCAGACTCCCGCCGGGGCGTCACCTGCTCAGGACCCGGGCTCAATGCACCCCCACTCCTCGCCTCCCCATTCCACTCAGAACCCCCGGCCACAGCCTGGATCCCCTCCGGGCCGCCTGGCTTATCATCCCTTCCTCCTCTCCTGAGCTAACCCCGGGTGGGGTTGAGACCACCCCCAATTCTTCCTGGGCTGGATCCGGCTCCAAGGGTTGTGAAGGGCAATTTGAGTTCAGATTTCCAGGCTCCAAGACGGTGTGCAGACAGAAACGAAGTTCCAGGGTGACAAGCAGCGGGCAGAGTTTAATCCAGTTCTAAACCAAAATGGTTCAGAGCATCGGAACAGGGAAAGCTGGGGGGTGGGGGGAATGCCTTCTCCAGGGGCCATAGGCTGAGGAGGGAGGAATTCCAGACACCCTTTGCTACTGCACGTAATGTTAATGAGGAGGTGCTGGCCAGGTGGGGCCGAGTGCTCCCAGGTGAGCTGAAACATCAGAGGTCAGTGGGTGGAGCCAGAGGAGGTGCCATCAGGAAATGGGGTGTCACTCCAGGGAAGCAGGGAGCAGATGTGGGGGGAGGCCCTGGATGGGGGTGCAGCTGGGCCTTTTCACAGTCTATCCCCATCTTCTTCCCAGACCCACATGGATGGTGACAAGCAGCTGAGGGGCGAGGACAGGGCCCGCATGGAGCCCACTCCATCGTCCTATGGACCTCCCCATCCCTCTATAGCCCCCACCCCATCCTGAGGTCACAGGACACCGGGGCTCCAGGAATCCAGGTTGGCATGCTTGTTCTTCATTCACATGGTGGGTCCCCCTGTAGGGGGCAAGGACAGGGGCTCTCCCTCAGGGGGGAGGTGGGGAGGGGTGATTCTATTGAGCTTGCATCTTCTGGTCACAACCTTGATGACAGAGGTGAGACTCCAGGTTAGGCAAGTGCCCCTCCCAGCCACCCCCTCCCCCACCAAGGCCTCCAGGAATTTATGGTGCCAAGTGCATCAGTGCTTGGAGCAGGAGGAGGAGCATGGAACTTAGTCACCCCACTAAATGAAGGGGGACACTGAGTCACCAAGAGGGCAAGCGCTGGCCCCTGGTCACATGGCGAGTGGGAGCCAGGTCTCTATACTCAGAAGGGAAAACTGAGGCTCAGAGAAGTGACACTGACTTGCCCAAGAGTCTGGCCTCTGGAAAGGGCAGAGACTTCGGAGGAAGGGACACTGAGGTGAGACAAGGAGCGTGCCAAGGCCAGACTCCTGGACAATGCCCACTGAAGAGGCTGAACTAGGAGACAGCAGTGTCTTAGGAACTGAGGGAGGTGAGAAGTTGACAGGGCAGAGGTGACTGCCGCCACAGGCTGGACAGGTGGAGCACCGAGAGGCCTGCAGTGCCTGGTGTTGGACGAAGGCCCTGGTCACTTTACAAGTCAGTGAAGTGATGGCCTTTGAGAGGGGACCCTAGGAGGTCTGGCCCTTGCCTCCTGTCATCTGCTGGGAAGCACTGATCTATGTGGTTCCCATGGAGGGCAGAAGTCCCTGATCCACCCTGGTCCCCAGAGGCATCGTGCCCTATCCCAATATCCCTCCCCAGACCCAAAAGGAACACAGGAGAGTACCCCACCCAGAGGCTGGCTGACTCCACTGCAGGGCAGGGCGGCTGGAGCAGCAGTCAGGGTCACATAAAGCCATAAATCAGCAAGCCCTCCACAGGCGCTTGGCACACAGTAGGCCCTTAATAAACTTCTGCAAGTCACACAGAAGTGATATGGCCCTTTCTCTGCCCTAGTGGCAGGTCTGCCCTACAAACCCACCACCCACTTCTCTCCAGCCAGTGCCTCTGTTGGTCCACACAGGCCACCAACAGTTCTTACTCCTCCCCCATATCCAGCACCAATTTCCTACCTGGTCCACGTGGTCCAGCCCAGCATCCCAGAGGTGATAGCTGCAATGGAGATGAGGCTGCCAGCCAGCATTAAGGTGGGTCCCTTGGGCAGCTGTCCTGTGAAGGTAGCGGTGGTACCTGGGCTGGGCTTCCCTAAGGTAGAACCAGGGTAGGCATGGCTCCTTCATGACGCTCTTCCCTGCTCTTGGCAGTGGCCAGGTGGAGCTCTTCCATCTCCCACCCACATACCCAGAAGTGCCAGCCGCCCCTCTGGAAACCAAGGGGCCCTCTCACCTGGGGGCACCAGCGTGAGGGGGCTGCTCTGGACACTGATGTCATTTTCAGCCTGGCACTGGAACCAGTTCGACGTCTGGGTCAGTGGGAAGGAGAAATTGGCAGGCTGCCCATGGTTTGGTTTCTGCTGCATGTAGATGTGCCCGTCCCTACTGATCAGGCTGTAGGTGATGGGTGGGCTGCCCGAGGATGCCTGGCAGGACATCTCTACCCTGGGGCCTGACCCTCTGTCCAGCAGGGTAAAGTCCGCTTGCAGCCTGGACACGGGCTCTGGCAGGGTGGGACAGGGTAGCACAGGCGTGGCTGAGAGGCGTTAACACTCTCTCCCCAACAAACTCCCTTGTTACAAAATAATGAGGCCTAACTGTGATTGCCACCTCCTCCAGGCAGCCTTCTGGATTATTCTCTCTGCCCAGTGTCTGAGCTTCTACCCTGCTTGCAGTGTGTGCCACACAAGCTCTCATTTGGTTTTATTCTTGTATATTGGGTTGTCGGAAAAGTCATGACATGTTTCTTCTATGTTTTTCGTTGCAAAAATGTGTCATGACTTTTTCGACAACCCAATAGTATATACTGGGTTGCTAGACTTAGCAAATAAAAATACAGGAGGCCCAGGTAAATTTGAATTTCAGATAAATGATAAATAATTTTTTTAGTGTGAGTATGTCCTATGAAAAATTTATCTGGCAATCCTATTTATATTCTTTCAGTCTTGACTCTTTTACTGGAATACACATGCTTCTTCAGGATGAGAACTGTCACTTAGAAGATTCTAGAATCCCCCAGGGCCGTCAGCCTAATGCTCTAAACGGCCTTACTGCTGCTAAGTAACAACCACCACCATAAGTCGAATACTTACCGCCTACTAAGAGCTTCCATTGAATTATTTCTACCCTCCTGGGGTAGGTACTCATATCTTTGTTTTGTAGATGAAACAGCCTAGGCTCAGAGAGGTTGAGTGACTTGCCCAAGAACCCACAGCCTGAGATTTGAACCCTCGACCTGTAATGTTCCAGACTGGGCTCACCTCTCCTAGGCTGTCTCCTCCTGGGTGTGGTCCAGGGGGTCACAGTCCCACAACAGGTCAGGTTGGGCGACACTTCCTGGTTCCCACCCCTGACGCCTCCCACCAGGAAGGACAGAGTTAAGATCAGGATAGATATAGGAAGAACACAGGTTTTGGAGCTAGGTGGAGTGGGATTTGAAGCCATCCTTTGCCACTTGCAAGCGGTGGCCTGGGGGTAGCCTGGGCCACCTAAGATTAAAATTCTCTAAGAATTTTAGCTTCCTCCTTTAGAGGCTGGAAGCCACCCTCAGCTGTGCTGAAGATTAAACTAGATTAAGCACAAAAAGTGCCGACTTTATCAGCTTGTGGTCAGAGTTCTCAGCAAATGGGGCTTGGGTCCTGGTCACTTCCGCCCTTAGGCTCTGTTTCACTCTCCCTTTGGCCCCCTGATGCCCCTGCCAGGAGTCTGTGCCCTGGGGACCCAGCCAGGATCTACCTCAGCCTGTGACCAGGTCCTAAGGGACAGAGAGTGGTCCTTAGAGGCAGAGCCCAGGCCCCATGATCCCCATGCCTAGGAGCTTCGATTATCTTCCAGACCCTGCACCCCACGTGTGTTCCCCCCCCATGCACTCACTGGCCCACAGCTCCAAGTACATCTGCAGCTTGGCGCTGGCCACATGAATGCTGCCGGGGGTGGTCGCCTGGCAGAAATAAGTGAGCAGGTCGGGCCTGGACTTGAGCGTGACATTGATGCTGAAGGAGGCTGGGTCTCGGGTCTTCACCAACTTTTTGGTGACTTCAATGTCCCTGCTGCCCCAGAGAGAGTAGGTGATGGGCGGGGGCGCTTGGGGGTGAGTGGCACGTTATGAGAACATGGCGGCTTCCCGAGAAGACCTCCAGGACTTTGTAGGCAATGAAGGTCTCAGAGGTGATTTCTAGGGGTGAGACAGTCAGAGGAGGAGGAAGGAAACTAACGTTTGTCAAGCACCGTAAAGAAATGCTGGTTTGGCAGTTCCTCAAAAAGTTAAACAACGAACTATCATATGACCCTGCAATCCCACTCCTAGGTATGTAGCAAAAGAATTGAAAACAGGGACTCTAACAGATACATGTGCACACGTGTTCATAGCGGCACTGTTCACAATCCCCAAAAGGAGGAAACAGCTCACATGTCCGTCCATGCATGAACGGATGAATAAAATATGGCCTCTCCATACAACGGGACAGTATTTAGTCATAAAAACCAGTGAAATGCTGACAGATGCTACGACATGGACGAACCTTGGGGACACCATGCTCAGTGAAACAGACGCAAAAGGCAACATACTGTATGATTCCTTTCATGTGAAATATCCAGAATAGGAAAACCCACAGAGAAAGAAAGCAGATTGGCTGTCGGGGGCTGGGGGAGGGGCATGGGGAGTGACTGCTCATGGGGATGGGGCTTCCTTTTGGGGTGATAGAATGTTCTAGAACGAGACAGGGGTTGGTGGCAGACATGGCGAATGCACCAAATGCCACTGAAGGTTCACTTTAACATGGTTCAACTTGTCGTGAATTTCACTTGATATTTATTTTTTTTAAAGAAAAGAAAAAAACTGCTGGAAAAAAGTCTGCCTCCTGGGTTTAGACTCTTTCTGCCCTCAGTATTTACTATGAAAATGAAATGGAATTGGGACGTGAGTAGGAAGCATAGAGAAGTTTGGAACCCAGGTTAGCAGGGCCGACATTGGGTTCAACTTCTGGACTCAACAATGCTGTCGGCCGTAGCTGTGGGGACGGCAGTGTCATTCTTGCAGGTCACTGTATCCCCAGCCCGTGGTAGGAGACTGCGTGACTCACTCAGATGAAAAGGCAGGTGCTGTCCAGTGACGCCCTGCAGTGTGGCCTGCGTTCTCGTTCCAGGGATGTCCTCATGTGCTAAAGGCGCCGTGAGGTTCAGGCATTCCTTGAGGATGCACCTGAGCTGGGGATTTCCTCACAGGGATGGAGACAAGTCAGGTGCCAAGTGGACCAGGCACGTGATGAACTGGCACTGCGTGCAGGCCTGCACCTGGCAGTGGCCTGGAGGACTCCAATGCCTGTCCACTCATGTATCAGAGGCCTCCTCATGGCAGACGCACCAGGGGACCTGGGATGCAGGGCCGGTGGCCGGGCCCCAGCGCCCAGAGAGGTCAACACCTGGTTTAAAGAGACAGTTAGGAGGCAGGGGGCAGAGGGCAGAGGGCATCACCTAGACCCGCCAGCGGCGTTCTGGCGGAGGGATCCCAGGCTTGGATGGGATGGGCGAAACCGGAGAGGAAGAAGCAGATTCGGGGAAAGCAGGGCCTCAGAAGAATCGGGCAGACCCTGAAGGACACCGCACGCTCACAGCACCCAGAGGTCTCTCCTCCCAGACCCAGGGTCAACACCTGCCCTCCAGCCACTCCCAGCAGGGGTTCACTCAGCTAGACCACCTCTCTGCTGGGAAGTAACTTTCTATTCTGTAGGCAGATCCTGGAGTCAAATCTGACACAGAAAACATCTCTAAGGTCAGTGTATCCAGCCTCGGGGCTGCCCATCATGAATTCTCCATGACAGCCAGCAGGACTAAACAGAGCTGCCTTCTGAGTGGGGGTTTGGGAGAGAGGGGTGTATTATTAATGGTGCATTTTCAAGACTAGTGTGTAGGGGCAGTGTGGGGGCGGGGTGGAGGGAAGCGTCTATGAAACTTAACCTATCCTAGACCTCGAGAAGCATCATCGCCTGTGTCCTGCTGGGCACGTTGGTTCTGGAAACCACAGTGATCAGAGAACTAACTGCTCGCTGAGCAGAGGAACAAACTAGAATAGCATGCAATGGTGTTCAGAGACATTTCCTAGGAATCCTATTTCTGGTTACTAAACATATTTCTTTCTAGACCAGTGGCTCTCAACCAGCGGCAATTTTGCCTCCTGCAGTGCACAGGACGCCCTCGAAGCAGAATTACCCGTCCCCGTGTGGCGAGTGTTGAGGTTGAGAAATTCTGGCCTAGGCAACCTGCCCCAGCCTCCTAGAAATCAGGATTTCTTCCCCTGCTCAGGGCTGCACAGCCACCCACAAATACGACCTCATCTGGGCCTCTTTCTAAACTTCATAAGAACCCTGATTTTTTAAATACTTTTTTTTTTTTTCCAAACAGGCTTTCATGCAAAATCCTTGATTTGAAATAAGGCTGTATGGAGAGTTGAAGCTGCTCTCTTTTTGCACCATTTTGCAAACTGCTCCTAATCATTTCATCAGTGCAGCCCTGTCTGGCACCCAAGGGCCAACTCACTGCCCGTGGCTGCTCTTGGGGCCAGAATCCCTCACAGGGGGAATGGGGGTCCAGGGCAGAAGCGTGATGACACTTCGCTTTTTGCTCCCTTCACGGAAGGAAATGACCTTGACTTATAAGAGTGGAACAAAAAAGCTGGCCCACCTTCATTTCCATTCCAATAGCCATTAATAGAATTCTGATTTACATAAGTTCACAGACAGGAGCCAATTTTTTCATACACTATGCAGCAGGGCATTCACGTTTTATTCTAATAAGACTTGTGTGGCTTTTTTTCTTTTGATTATTTAGTGTACGCATCTAGCCCACCAATAACAAGCAGTCTATCATTTAATTTAAAACTCATCAAGCACATCAGAACATTTGAATGATGAAATGGCACTCTCAAAATTTGATGAAGTGACAATAAGGCCACCCTTGGGACTGGGAGCTGAGCCAGATGGAGGCTGGGCTGAGTGGGTGGCTGTGCAGAGCCTCCTGTCACTAAAACAAGAAGGGGGCCCCTTACGGCTTATGCCCAGACCCAGGACAGTGACAGAGAGACATTGCCCCTCTCGCCACACTTGTCTCTGTGATACCTGGAAGCTTGGATATTCGAGTCCCTACCCTAGAAATCCAATTCATTACATCCAGGTGGGACCCAGGGATCTGATTTTGAATGAACAACCCACCTGTCGAGGGTTGAATTGTGTCCTCCAAAAAGATATGTTCAAGCCCTAACCCCCCAGTCCTGTGAATAGTACCTTATGTGGAAATAAGGTCTTTGCAGATGTACCCCAATAATCCATACTGGGTTAGGGTGGGCCCTAACAAAAGGAGAAGCGATAGAGACAGTCACACGCACACCATGTGAAGATAGATGGAGGAAGCGGTGGGAGCGTGCTGTCACTAGCCACCCAATGCCAAGGATGGTCAGTACCCACAAAGCCAGAACAGAAGCATGGGACAGTTTCTCCCTCGGGACCTCCTGAGGAAACCAGCCCTGCTGACACCTTGATTTTGGACTTCTGGCCTCCAGAACAGGGAGAGAATAAATTTCTGTTGTTCTTAACACCCCCGTTTATGGCACTTTGTTATGGCAGCCACAGGACGCTAAAACAGCCCCCCTCCAAAGTGATTCTTGTGAAATGGTCTAGAACCTCACTCAGCAATACCAAACGGGTTTTAGGAGTAAATGGGGGCCAATCCATCAAGGTTCCTTTGCGCTCTCTCCAGGGAGTGCACTAGTTTAGACCTGTCCTTCCACCAGATGCTGCCCCCTCTGAACAGGAACCCAGTCGTATGCTCACAGCAGCCCCACAGGAACCCCCTGGCTCACAGTCACCCTCATCCTTCTGCCCCACCCCTTTTAGGGCTCTGCATGTCCCCTCTTATGTTCCACCTCCCAACCTGTGCAATCCTGACACCCTCCAATTGTGCTGTCTGGAATGTAGGCTTCCTCGGCCCCCAAGCCCCGTGAAGCCTCCACACTTTCTCATCTACCACACCCAGTGGAAACCAGCCCCCTCTGCAGGGCACTGGCTACACCAGGGGATGTCTCAGGTGGTCTGGACCCCACAGCCTTCCTGGAAGTGGGCTGGAACCATGGGCGTGCACATCCTTTTGATATTTCTGGACCATTCTTCCTCCTTCCTCCCTAAACACCAGCCTTGAACCTCACATCGTCAGACATATTCCTCCCACCCCTCTGGCTTACAATTACCTAGAGATGCCCATTTTTTATTGAAGATTCTTGCCCCTGGTTTCTGCTCCAGTCACGTGCCACAGGAGGACGTTTCAGTCAACAACAGACCGCATATACGGCAGTGGTCACATGAGATTATAATGGAGCTGAACGATTCCTATTGTCTAGTGATGTCATAGCTGTCGTGATGTCATAGCGCAGTGCATTCCTCACATGTTTGCTGCGACACTGGTGTGAACACACTGCACGGGCAGTCGTATAAAAGTGCAGCACATACGATTATGCAGTGTGTAATGCTTGATAATAATCTACTGTTACCAGTTTATGTTTTTACTATAGTATACTTTTTATCTTTATATATATATATATTTTTAAAGATTTTTATTGGGGAATTGGGGGGATGGGAACAGTGCTGGGGAATTGGGGAAAGGGGAACAGACAAGTTGCTGTCGTTTTGTTCTTCAATCTAGTTGTGGAGGATGTTGCTTCACTGGCCCAAGTTGGCACCATCATTGCGCTCTTCTCTGGCAAGGCAGATCAGTCACCGGCTTCTGGACGGCCGCTCACTGCGGCTGCTGGCCGCTCACGCTGGCTGCTGGCTACACACAGTAGCTGCTGGCTACACACGGTAGCTGCTGGCTACACACGGTAGCCCATGGCAACCCACTGCCACAGGGGCTGCAGCCTACACCGTCACCGGTGACTCAGGCAGCCCAGCTCCAGGTTGAGCTGTTGTTCAGCATCTTAGCTGTGGAGGGCAGTGTCACTGGCCCTCATATGTGGGATCCGAACCCGGGCCCTCTGGCATCCCAAGCGATTGCGCCACTCGGCCGGCCCCTTTTTATCTTTATTTTAGAGTGTACTCTTTCTATTTCTATTTACATTTACAAATATTTATATAAACATTTCATATTTACCGTGTCTCTTGATTGCATCGTTTTCTCTTGTGTTTGATTTAATCTCGTGTTGTTTTGTACAGTAACGTGCTGTACAGGCCTGTAGCCCAGGAGCAATAGGCTGTGCCACGTAGCCTAGGTGTGCAGTAGGCGACACCATCCAGGTGTGAAAGTGCCTCTGTGATGTTTGCACGACGAAATCGCCTTAATGAAGCATTTCTCAGAACGTGTCCCTGTCATTAAGTGGTGCATGACTGTACTCTCATTACTACAGCTGCCATGATTCTTGGGGATTTCAAAATACACAGATAATGTTTCCAATATCTTGGCTCTTCAATTCCTTAACATTCAGTATCTTTCGCCCAACTTCTTGCTCCCACTGAAGCCGGTTCAGCTGTGTGAGACGCCATTGGAAGGCTGCACTTCAGCTAATCCTTCCAGGAGATCAGCCCGGAACCCTGGGGTCATCTTCCGTTACTCTGTCTTTCCCGTCCCACTCCATCCGTCAGCAAGTGCAGCTGGCCTGACCCTCAGACTATATCTCGACCAATCTCTGCCTTATCACGTCTCTCCTTTGATTCTGGGGAACAGCCTAATGACCCTTGACCCCCATGTGACGCTTCTCAACACAGCAGCCGAAAGGACCCCATGATGGTTATATCAGATCCTGTCTTCTGTGCAGACCGTCCCACAGCTATGTCCATAAGCCCTCCCTACCCAACCCTCTCCCACCCTCCTTACCTCCCCCGACTCTCCCCTTTCCTGCTTCCTGTGCTCCGGCCATGCAGGCCCTTGTCCAGGCACGTCCTGCTGTACATGTCTTCGCTTGGGTGTCCTCTTCTGAGTGACAACTTCTCAGTAAATGCTGCCCTCGCGCCCCATCCCCACCCATGTTCCTTTCCCTCCTCCCAGCGTCCTTTTCTCTAGGGCAGATCACATCCTAGCACACTACAGAGCATGCTCCATTTTATTATCACCTGTCCCCCCAGCCGCACTGGAATGTAAGCTACACGGGAACAGGGGTCTTTGTTTTCTCTCTGCACTTTGTGTATCCATCCTGGGACCTAGAGCAGAGCCTGCACCAAATAGGTTCAGCCATGTTGAATGAAAATGAATGGAGAAATGGTTTTTACCAGTCTGTCTCTTAGGAGTTGAGTTAGCAGGACTTGCTTGGCAAGTGTCTGAGCAAAGTCAGGGGCCCGAGAGCGAGGGGATGAGCCCTGCCCAGGTTCTTCCCGGAGACCCAGAGGTCTGCACAGCCACTCAGCTGTCGGGTTTTTTTGTTGTTTTTTTTTAGCGGAAACACCACAATGTGCTTGTTTTTAAAGCAAATGAGGAAATGATAGTTCAGCCTGTGCCGCATGCAAGTGAGACCCGCCCTTCAGTGGAACCGAGGAGGAAGCCTTCTCTTCCACCCTGCGACCAAGGAAGGTACCCATTGGGACCGGACGGGGGAGAGCAGTGGAGAGGAGGGGGTGACCCATCACCTTGACTTTATGAGTCACAGGGCTACAAATGGGGGCAGGGGAGGGGACAGGAGAGGGAGGGGAGCAGAACAGTGGAGAGAGGCAAAGCTGAGCAGAGTCCAGACCAGGGGCGGCTCCTCCCTCGCTCTGCACCGTCCCGCGATGCACGGAAAGCAGGCCCGGGCTCTCTCCTGCTGCCCCTGAGAGTGAGGCGGCCTCCCCTGGCTGGACTTCGGAGGGAGCCTGGAATCCCCCATTCGCTCAACGCCACCCTCCTGGACCAGGCGCTGCACCAGAATGCCCCCAACCCTCTCTGGGGTCACACCCACCTGGCGGAGCTGTGGGGCTCCCAGAGGGGATTCTGCTCCAGATCTGGGGTAGAGAGATTCGGGTACACCTGCCCAGGGACACGCCCTCCTGCCCCCTTCCCCAGCACCCCCCAACACACACACACACACACACACACACACACACACATACCCCAACAGGAAGTCAAGCACTTTTGCTCCCTCATGTCCCCTGTTGTTCCCCCATGTCCCCTGGAGGTGCCCCCTGCCAGTCTCCTCTCTTCTCCCCGCCCCCCAGGGCCCTGCAGGAATGGAGGCTTTAGAATTGATCAACTGCCCACCAGCAGATACTCCCTCACCAGCAGCAAACGCCCCTCAGCCAAGGCACCCACCATGAGTGAGGGGCCTTTCTCCCTCCCACCTGCTGGGCTACTCACCTACCTCCTGCTCCACAGAGAAGCTTCTGGTGGCTATAAGAGAGGGCAGAGTGGTAAGGAGAGAGCTCAGGGTGGAGGGGAGGCCAGAGAGCCTTCTACCAACGCCAGACAGGAGGCCCAGGACTCAACAAGCACCTTCATTCCACATTTAGTATCATGAACCCATTTTGCAGATGAGTAAACGGTGGGCCCAGAATGGAGGAGCAGTAACTGGGCCACAATATGCTGTAAGGGGCTGTTCTGAGACTCAAGCCCAAATCTTTCCCACTCTGTCCTGTGCTTCTGGAGGTGTCCATGCCTTCCGGTCCCACCTGTCCTGTGCCTCCCAGCACCCCCACTCCCTGAGCACAGCAGCCGCCTTCCGGGAAGCCTCCAGTGGGGCTCACCCAGCATGGCCAAGCAGATCAACATTAGGAGCCTCATGCCTCTGCTGGTGTGGGGCCCTCTGCCCAGGGTCAAAAAGGCTCCCTCGGTGGGGGACCCCTCCACCCTGGTGTGTCACCAGGGTGCTCCTTGGGAGGTGTCTGCAGCGGGGAGATAACCTGGAAGCCACAGAGCCCCAGGGCCTCAGCAACCAGGGCTGGGCCCAGAACAGCAGACTCCCCGACATCCTGCAGGGAATTAGGGGGTGCCTAGGCCTTAGAGCCAGACCAGGGCTACACTCAGCCAGCACTGCTGCACTGTGGGCCCCGGGCCTGCTGGGTAGATAGAAGATGTCCACATCCGTTGCTCAGGCTGTTCCCTCTGCTTTCATCTCCCGTTTGAAGCCTCCCTTCTAGTCACCTTGCTCTGTGAAACCTCCTGCTGGGAGGATGGCTCATCCTCTGAGGCTCCCCCAACCCAGGTTGTCTTGCTGGACGGTTGTGATCATAGGGGATCTCAGGCCCACTTCTCATCTTGACCACTTGTCTCTTGAGGCCAATGACAAAATTGGAATAGGACCTTGACCACACTCCTAGGAAGGGCAAGGCACCCATTGGGGCACTTTGTAAGTAATTGCTGATTAAATCCTCACAACCACTCAGGGGACGGTGGCGTCATCCCCACTGCTCAGTGGCTGAGCACACTGAGGCCCCAAGTTTGCTGGTTTGCCCAAGGCCTCCAAGCTTGTCCTGTCCCTCACATCGCCTAGGGAGCCTGGCCTTGCACTTGGCCAGTTCTCAGTACATGTTCACTGGAGGGACATGAAGGTGCTAAGAAAAGGACCTTGATGGTTCTGTGCAGTGGTTCTCTCACTGAAGTCCCCATCAGCACCATCCCAAGGGCTCACCCAGGGGGCCCCACCCTTAGAGTTTCTGATTTGGGAGGCCAGGTGAGGCCTGAGAATTTGCATTTCTAACAAGTTCCCAGCTGATGCTGATGGGGCTGGTTCAGGGAGCACACTTTGGTCTTAAGTTGCTAATTAACAGTCACTTTCCTGTGGGCCAAGCCAGTCACCCTCCCTAGACAGAGCTCATCGCCAGCCCCAGAACAGGGCCTGGCACGTGATGACAGGCGGATGGGTCTTGTGATGCTGGGTGAGTGAGATGACAGCGACAAGAAGCACTTTAATGACCATACGAAGCTGCTGGCCTGAGGGCACCAGCTCAGAGCTGCCCAGGCTCTGTGTCATGGCCTGGAATCCTGGGCCCCTGGTGGAAATAGGGTGGCTTTTAAACACGTCCTGGGGTTTCCCCTGCCTTCACTCCTGATGGTTATTTAGACCAGTTCTCAATCCCGGCTGTGGGAAAGTCACCTGGGAGTTTCAGAAAGTCCCGAGGCCTGGCTGCTGGCAGCACCTGGATCAATCGCATTGGAGTCGCTGGCATGGGGCCACTTCTGACAGCTTCTCAGGTGTTCTCCACGGCTGAGGTCCCTAGATTGAGTCACCGCAACCTGGGGCCGGAGGCTCCAACAAGGCGCAGGAATCTCGGACCCAGCCTTGGGAGGCACCCCCGCTCCGCCACTTCCAGGCCCTGGTGGGACATCTTTACCTCCAGCATTCCTCAAGGTCGGCTCAACTGGGGGACACAGAGAGGGCAGAACAGACTCTACAGAAGGCATTGTGGGGGGTGGCAGCCTGAGGACGCCCCCTGTTTTGATGTGGGGTTGCTGGGTTAGAATTCTGGGTGGTGAGGGATCCTGCTAGGGAGAGGACAACGTCAGAACTTCTGTTACGCAGGTTCACATAAGCGCTGTAAGTCCCTGGGGTCAGGGTGGGGATCACCGCTAAGCCCCACACTGCTGCGGTGTGTCTCTGGATCCCAGTGCCCAGGGGTCAGATTCTGGCTCTGCCCCTTGCAGGCGGTACTTCTGTGGGTCTCCATCTCCTCACATGTTTAGAAGGCGTGACGGAAGGTTCTGTAGGGCACGTGCAGTTGAACACCGCAAACCCCCAGTGCAGGTTTGCTCTAACAGCGGCCAGGTCGTCCCTTCCCACAGGTTGGAGGTCTCCAAATTTTGTGATGGCACGTCCCACAGTTAACAATTTCGGAGCACTTCCAATGGATGTATCTTTACAAATTGTATTCATGGGTTACTGTACTACTACTGTATTATGCACATTATAAAACGTTCGACAAAAAAGTAATGAGATCAAAATACAAACACAAGTCCCCATATTTTCTTCCTCTGCCCTTGGGTGTGTGAGCCCCGTTTTGAGGAGCCCACCGAGAGGGGTTGGTGGTCACCAGGGGGCAGGAGTGTGGGGCACGGGGGCTGCAGGTCTGACCCTGGAGAGGCTCTGGGCGGAGGCGGGGGTCGGCACTACTGATCAGTGCTGCTGGGGAAGCGGAATCTACAGGCGGCATCCGCGAGGAGGGGTCCCGGCCTGGGGGCCCTGGGGCCCGGGGATCCCGGGCACGGGAATCCGGGGCAGAAGGATCGAGGGCGCGAAGATCGACTGTGAGGGGACTCGGGCCCCAGGGAGTCGCCGAGGCCCGGCTCCGGCAGCAGCCGCGACAGGTCCTCCACCAGGTGCCACTTCTCCTGGACTTGCTGCAGCGGAGCGAGCGGCTGGTTAACAGCCGCGCCTCTTCCCACGAGCAGGCGGGGAGAAGCAGCCTCCCAGCCCGCCCCCCGCCCGAGGCCCCGCCCCGGTCCAGCCCCCGCACGAGGCCACGCCCCATCTCGGTTCCCCCAGGTAATTTAGAGACCACGCCCCCTCCAGTTTCCGTCCCTAGTCCGAGGCCAACCTTTATTTGATCCCTCCCCCAGCGAGGCCACGCCCCATAAGAGCCCGTCCACATCCAAGAACGCCCCATCAGGGAGGGTCCTAGCCCCAAACTTAGCCTAAAGCCATACTCAGTCTCTTAAACCTTTGTTCCCAAGCCTAAGGCCATATTCCTGTGTATGGCTCCCGGCCTGAGGCCATGCCTAGAGCCCATTCTCTCCCTCCCCCTTCCCAGCTTCTACCCCCATCCTGGCACCACACTCCTGGGCAGGGTCTCACCCTCAGTTGGCTGCCCCTCCCAGCCCGGATGACACTCACCCATTTTAGCTGCTTCCGGAGGCCCTGGATGGCCCTTGCGTTGGCCTGGGACTGCGAGATGCACACGGTCAGGACAAGGCTTTGGATAGATGGGGATCGAAGGTCAGTCACGTCCCTACTTCCTCCTCACTCAAGTCTCTTAAAAACGCCTCCTGGGGTCTTTTCTCTGCCTTGCCTTGGCAGACACCTCTCTCCCCCTCCCACTGGTGCTCAGCCCCTGTTCCCTAAATGGCAACAAGAAGAACCGCTGCAGGCTCTCAGCGTATGTTTCCGGTCGTTAGGTAAGGTGCTGGCTTTCCAGGTGAGGCCGGAGGGGGCTGCCCAGAGGCACAGGAAGAACCCCCAGACTACTTGCCTTGTAGCTCATGCTTTGTACCCCCTGCTTCCCTGGGCTCTCCTTGTCTGGCTCCCAGATCCCATGAGACTGGCTGGGGGTGTCCATGGAAGGAAGGACCCCCACACACACACTCTCCCTCCCTCGGCCCCTGTTGTCCTGAGAGGAACCTGAGCAGGATGAGGAGGGGAAAGCGGAAGGCGTGGGAGCCCAGGTAGTAGACGGCACGCTGGCCAGAGGGCGGCAGCCGCAGGGCCACCAGCTCCGGGACCACCTGCCAGGGGGCAGAGTAGTTGGCGAAGAGGCCACAGTCCCAGGAGGAGTGGATGCTGTGGAGAGAGGGCCAGTGTGGGCTGGCGTCAGTGCCCCAGTGAGGAGCTGCCTGCCCGCCAGCCTCCAGCCTCTCTTCTCCCCTCACCTGCTGACCACGTAGCCCAGAGGCACGGTAGCCAGAAGCAGGCCCAGGATGAGCACCAGCTGGAAGAAGAAGGTGGAGCTGGAAGCGCGGAATCGGCGAGGGGACGCCTTGGAGTTCCTCAGGAGGGTGTACTGGGGAGCAAGCAACAAGAGTTGGGGGCTGCTAGGCCATCTGCACACACCAAGGAGTCAGGAGGCCCAGGGAAGTGACGCTGAGTAGGGGAGGTGGCAGGAGTGGGACGTGAGCCCCATTCAAGGCACCCGCCTGCCCAGGTGCACCCCTGCTCCATCCCAGCCGGTGAGCCCCCACCTTTTTGATGTAGAAGGTGAAGAAGATGAAGACACTGTTGAGCAGGGGCAGCAGGGGGCAGTAGAAGAGGCCCATCCAGGTGACCGTCTGCCCCGCGACAATGTCCAGCACGTTCTTGGGCACCAAGAACTCCTCCCGGTCCAACCAGGTCCAGAACCGGCCTGACAATCGTTCCACCAGCAGCCTGGGGACAGGAAGTGTCCAGGTACCACCACCAAGGAAGAACGTGTGGATCACGTTGGTCATGGCCATGGCCCAACCCACACTCACACGGATACACGTGTGTAGAACTGCTCATCGTTGGCTGTGGCCACTGGCCATCCCCAGACATGCCCAGGTCACCCCCATGCTGTCCCCAGGTGGCTCACCTCCTAGGCAGGCTGACGAGGTAGGCGAAGGCCACGGTGAGCAGGAAATTGAAGATGCTCAGCTTGTACAGCTCCTCCCCCACTGAGTTCTCCCAGCACTGGTGCAGAGGGGACCCGTCACCACTCACGGTGCCGAGCTGCCCTTCACCCGCCCATGGGGAGGGGTCTCTGTGGTATAGGAGCCTTGCCTGGAGTCTGATATGATTGCTAAGTTAAAACCCGGCCCTTCGGGCCGGCCGAGTGGCTCAGTTGGTTAAGAGCTCGCTCAAGAGTTTGAGCTCTGAGCAACAGCAGTTCGATACCCGGCCCGAGCTGAACTGCCGCTGAGCTGCAAAAAGTGGCAGGATGGCTCAGCTAAAAACAAACAAACAAACAAAAAACGGGCCAGTCGAGTAGAGCATTGAGCTGGCTTGGGACGCCAGAGGACCCCGGTTCGGACCCCACATATGAGGGCCAGCGACACTGCCCTCTACAGCTAAGATGCTGAACAACGCAGCCCTGAGTCACCGGCGACGGCGTAGGCTGCAGCCCCTGCTGCAGTGGATTGCCATGGGCTACCGTGTGTAGTCAGCAGCCAGCGGGAGCGGCCAGCAGCCGCAGTGAGCAGCCGTCCAGAAGCTGGCGACTGATCTGCCTTGCCCGGGAAGAGCGCCGGGAAGAGCGCAATGATGGTGCCAACTTGGGCCAGTGAAGCAAAGTCCTCCACAACTAGACTGAAGAACAAAAAAAGGACAGCAACTTGTCTGTTCCCCTTCCCCCAATTCCCCAATAAAAATCTTAAAATAAAATAAAATAAAACCCGGGCCTTGAGGATAAGATTGGAGCAGGGAAACCCCACAGCCAGAGCTGCCACTCAGCACAGCGTGATGCGAATGGCGCCCCCTGGAGGTGAGCTGAGGTGTGGGCAGCTCTGCCTACAGCCTCTCACAAAGGGGAGACCTGGAGAGGGACAAGAAAGACCACAGGGGCAGGGAGGTCAAAGTGTGGGGCTTTGGGGAGATGCATGGGAGGCACAGGCCCCGATGAGCCACCAGCTACCTGGTAGTCGCAGGCGTTGTAGCCGTAGGACTCACAGCTGGTCTTGTTTCTGCCGATGCACAGCACGGTCTGGCCCAGGGAGATGGAGAACATTCCCAGGCTGGCCAGCTTGAGCACCACGCACCTGGGGGCGGGGACAGCGTCAGGGGCGGGGCCGCACGCTGGATCCAGGACACAGGTGTGGCTGACACCTGCGTTGAACACGTGTCTCCCAGGCCCAGCCCCCTCTGAATCCAGAGCCTAGCCTCCTTCCAACCTGCTCCATCAGTGACAATGTTCCCCCTAAAGAGTGTTCCCCAGGATCTTGGTCTCCAGATGATTCATGGGAGAAGAGAAGGGTTCTGTTTTTAAATCAGTTTGGGAAATACGGCACAGCGTCCTCCCCACGGTAGACTATTAACAGTGGTTCGTCTGTTGAGGGAGGCTGGGAGGCGGGTGGGTGGGATGGCAGACAGAGAAAAGCTGGGCCGGAGCTTAGGTCAGTGGTCTAAAGAGGGGCTATGGGTCCAAGACAGGACCCTCTCCTGGAGAGGGGAGAAAAAGCAGAGCATGGGGGTAGAGGAGGGCTTGCATTTGAGCCTCCACGCAGGAGACATGGTGAGCTTGACGTTGGCAGAGGCACTTGGTCCCTGCAAACCTCAGTTTCCTTGAATGTCCAAGGGGGATGAGGAGGGTTCTGACTTCACAGGTCATGTGAGGATTGTCAAGGTAAAGGGTGTAAGCTCTTGGGCATGTGGGAACTGTGTGTGCCCATGTTCCTGGTTTTCCTAAGTATGTGAAGCTGGTTCCAACCCCTTTGTCCAAACAGTCGCTGGCCCCTCTGAATGGCTGGCACTTGGTCCAGACTGCTGGCTTGCTTTAGATGGAGGGGACCTGGGTCCCTGAGACAGTGTGTTCTGGAAGTGCCCGCCTGCCTTCCCTTGCTTGACACCCCTGGTGTCAAGAGACAACCAAGACAAGCAGCAGAACACAGCTCTACACGTGCCTCTGAGCCCTCCCTCCTTAAGGGGTCCCATCTGTCACTCACCACACAAGGGTGAGGTTGACCTCAGTGTTGGGAGGGTAGTTCTCCAGCTGGACCAGGAAAACAAACATCAGAGGCCCCAGAAAGTTGACCAGAGAGATGACCCCAGAGGGCAGGTACTGGAGTAGCACAAACAGGGGCTTCTGCAGAGGAAAGAGGAGGAAGGTGCCCATGGGCTGGGAAGCTCCCAGCAGCTCCCCGCTCCTCTACACACCCTAAAGTGTAACTCTGGGGCAGGCCCTCCATCTGGAAGCCCACAGGCTATGGCAGCATGGCGGTCAGGGGATATTCACAGGTAGAGCCAGTCTGACCTGGCCATGACCTTGGGCAAATTGCTTTCACCTCTCTGAACTTCAGATTCTGCAAAGTGGGACCATCCTGTCTCCGCCCACAGTTCTGGCCAGGATTAAATGAACGCATGTCAGTTGCCTGGCACCTCCTTGTTGTCCTGCGAGAACTTGGTGGCCCAGAAGATGGCGCTGATGCCCCCGACCACCAGGAGGCCAATGAGGATGTTGACCCGCAGGCAGGTGAGCAGGTGGCAGGCTCTCTGGGACCGGGTCTGCTGTTGCACCAGCAGGAAGCGATGCCCCTCCTCCAGCTCTACCTATTGTGGGGTGGGGACAGAGGCAGGTTAGGGCTGGCCCCCGGCTGGGTGGTACATGGAAGAGGAGGGTCAAACAGACCCAGGCCCAGGTCAGTGTGCATCTGAGACAGGCTGCCAGGATCTAGGCAGGATTTGGGTGACACCGGGGCAGGGACAGGCCCAGGAGTAGAGGGTGGTTTTATATAGACCACCCCCTCCTTGCACTGTGCAGGTGAGTGCTCACACCTAAACACTGCCACAGCCCCTGCCTCCAGCTATAACACCATGTGCACACACATGTACACACACACACACTTGCACTCAATCACACACACATACTCATATATAGTTATACATGGTCTCACACTCAGGCACACTCACACACACATTCACACATTTTATACTCAGTCACACACGTCCTCGTGCACACCTTGAACTCGTTGCTGATCTCATGTTTTTTGATGGTGGCTGCTTCCTGCCCCCGGATACAGAAGTCCCAGGAGGAGAAGACCTTGGCACTGAGAGGTGACCTGTAGTCCTGGCCCAGGAACAGCTTCTGAGGCAGCCCCTTCACCATCCTGAAGGGACAGGAAGCCAGGGCTTTTCGGGAAGGGGCACCTCCCGCCTGCTAACCACAGCCTGGGTTCAGCCTTGGGTCTGGGGTGGGAAGCCCCTGGCAGCCCCGGGGGCAGACTTGAGCCAAGGTCTGGGTGCTGGGTGAGAATACAGGGGCAGTGGCCCCTGTCCCTGAGGTCTGCAGCTGATGACACAAGAGTCTGGACCCTGGAAGCACCCATGAGCCTTACTGAACAGGGGCCAGGGCCTTCCTGACAGCTTGGGGGGTACCACGCCAAGGGAGGAGTGAACAGGGAAGACCCCCTGGAAGGAGGCAGAGGCAGGGGCCCATTCTCACCGCCACAGAATGCCACAGAAGCAGAGGAGCAGGCAGGCCAGGGGGCTCAGGAGGTAGGCCAGGCGGATGCTGTATGTAGAGCTGCTCTCGGGGCCCACCCGGTACCCGCCATAAAAGAGGTAGGTGTTGTTGAAGGCCTGGGGACATGGATAGTGACAACTGAGCACGAGGCCCTGCCAGGCTGTATGCTAAGTGCTTTCTATGTATTAACTCATTAGCTCTCACAATAATTCCATCAGGTAGGGGGTTAGAGTACCCCCGTTTCACAGAGGCTCAGAGGGGTTAGGCACCTTTCCAAGGCCACACAGTTTTGAGGAAGAGACAGGACTCGAACACAGGCGCCTGTACAGTAACCATTAAGTGTCTCCCAGGGATGAGGGTGGGACGGTGCTTATTCCAGGGGGCTGGACACTTGTCCCTTGCACCCCCACCTCAGCTGGGCCCTGACGGCTGTGGGCACGTGTCCATAGGCCAGGGCTGTGCGCAATGGCCTCAACCTCTTTCTGTCCTCGTCAACTGGCCTGGCCAGCCTGTCTGTGTAAGATCATCCCCCTTAGAAGCCAAAATGTCTTTGAAGGGGTGGGGGTCCTCTTAGACTGGGGTCCCCTGAGGGCAGTTTCCTGGGTTCCCCAGCACACCTGGCCTATAGCCAGGACAGAGCCCACTTACCCTGCCAGTTAGAACACTCCAAAGTTGACTTTGGAAACTGGGAACACCCGTCTGGGGCTGGGTGCCACCAGGGCACTGGAGGGCTGTGGAGGAGGGAGAGAGGGCCACTAGGGAAGGGTCTCCAAGGCATAGGTGAGTCTCGCCCCTCCCCACTCCATAGTCCCCGGCCCCAGGAAGGCCTGAGCAGGGCCCTGAGGCTGTGTCAGGAGGCATGCCATGCAAAAGGCTCGGTCAGTTTGAGTCCCAGAGCTGGACCCAGGTAGGAAGATGCCCAAAGTCAGGACACAGGGGGTCAGGGCTGTCCCAACACTCTGAGCCCTGGACCAGCCCAGGGTGCGGGTGGGCTCCGGGTCACTGTTCCCTCCGTGGGCCAGGCACTCACTGAAGTTAAGGGCAGGGCCTGGGTCAGGGGGTCGGAGCCAGACCAGGGGCAGCAGGACGAAGCTGGAGGTCAGAAGCAGGGTCAGTAGGTTGAGCAGCAACAGGAAGCGAAGGAAGGTGAAGTAGGACTGGATCCCAGTGCCAAAGAGGCCTACGGGGAGAACAGCAGTGGGTCAGGGAGGCGCTGAGCCCGGTCCCGCTGAGACTCCCAGGGCTGACAAACCCAGCGGGGTGTGGGTGACCAGCCTCCTGGGACCTGTTTCATGGTCAGGTCCTGGAGGCCTAACAGTACCTCTGACAGCCACCAGGGGGTACTGCCAGCCACCAAGGTTTGTGCTCCCGCCCTGGGGGTGGAGGGGTGTGTAGGAGGACGGGGTGGGGCTTGGTTGGTGGGGACAGAGCAGGAGCAATGGGAAGTGGGCACGGTGCCCTCCTCATGATTCTAAACTAGACGTTGAGACTCCAGAGAGGGAAGGTGGGGTACAGGTCCTACCCCCGATCTCGTAGAGTGCCCCCTCCCAGAGCCCAAAGCCCTGGGCCAGCCGCTGTGCTGCCTCCCCCAGGCGCCGTCCTGCAGTCTGCTGCCTGCGCTGCCACCGCTGCCAGCATGAGGTCTTCACCCCCTCGGGCTCGCGCAGCTGCCTGGGATGGGTTGGTGATGGGGACGTCCCTGAGTCACCACCGGCCCACTGGGCCAGGCAAAGTAGCACAGTGGGCTGGGGGAGTCTTCCACTCCCACTCCAACAGGTGCATGCTCCTGGTGCTGTCCCCACCCCCACCGCCAGCCTCGGACACACACCGGAGGATGCGCCTGTCCGCCATGGCGTAGGGCAGCGTCCGCACGGGCACCCTGGAGGAACACAGCCGCTCCATCTCCTGCTCCCACAGCTCCTCGCCGGCCGGCTCCCCGGGGGCCTGCCCTGACTGCACGGACCACTGACGTAGCATGTCTGTTGGGGTGTTGAGGTTGGGGCATGGGGCTGCACCCCCTCACCACCACCACCGAGAAATGTGGGGCACCTGTTGAGTGAGCCTCAAGGTCTTGGCCCTAGCATGCCTAGAAATGAAGAGAAAGAATCCTGTTGGAAGCGATCTGGCCTCAGTCCCCATCCACCTCCCAAAGCAACACGTGGCCAGGGGCCTTAGTTTCCCGGTCTGTAAGATGCGGATGAAGGTCTAAAGGACACGGAAAGATGGGACCGTCATAGCCAAAGCCAGTGCACAGCGGGGCCCGAGGCCTGCTCTGCCCCAGCCGCTGTGGCCGCAGGCCTTCCAGATCACCCTTTGGTGACAGACAAGTCCCGCTCCTCCTCATTGGGAAGCCGTCCCTGTCCAGAACCCCAGAGTCCCTAGGATCGGGCACCCTGCATCCGAGCACCCGAGCGTGCTGGGATCCCCTTCCGTCTGCTGCCTTGTGGTCCAGCCCCAGGACAGTCTGCCCCGCCCCGCCTCGGACCCCAGATGAAGGGGCGTGGCTGCAGCCCCAGCCCTGGGGAGGGGACGAAGGAACCCCTCTGCCGCTTGTGCAGTGACCCCAAACCGCCCCCCCACCCCCCAGCGCCAGCAGCCCTTCGGCCTCGCGTCTCTCTTCCGTTCCCACGCGCTCTGCCTCCTCCAACTCTGCGCCCAGCTCACCTGGAGACCCGGGAACACGTGCCCGGAGGGGACCCTCTTCGGACCCGCTCCCGGTCCGCCAGGCCAGGCTGTGAGGCAGCCGAGGGGAGGGGTCACATGACAGGAACCCCAGCTCCCCGCGCGGCCTCCTCCCGCTGCACTCCTCTCCCCCCACCTCCGGCAGTTTCCTCTGCTTTCGACCTAGGCCGGCACTTCCTGCGGGCGCGGGGCGCGGGGCGCGGGCGGGCAGGTGAGGCGCGGGCAGCTCAGCCTCCCCCACGTGGGCGGGGGGCAGCGCGTCCCCTTCCCGTGAGGGCCCCGGGCTGGCCGCACCGGCCCAGCCCCCGGCTCCTGCGGCCCCGCTTCCCAGCCCCCAGGGGCCCCACGGTTGCAGTTCGGAGCCCCGAGTTGGAGGCTGTGAGCGTGTGCTCACCCCAGGCCTGGGGAGCCGGAGCCTGACCGGCAGGGCTGCGGGCAGTGGGGCGCAGGGGCCCGGTCCCTTATCTGCCGCTTGCCAGTGGCCCCAGCTCGGCCTGGAGGGCCCGATAGTGACTTAATATGTGGGTCCCATCACTTCGGGCTGAGTTATTTCTTAACTTCCCGCCTTTATCATTGGCACTCATGCCAAGGCCCAGGCCTAACACCTGGCCCATAGTAGGTGCACAGGGTAGACTCGATTCGTGCCCACTCAGTTAAGATGTTTAAGAATCACCTTGGCCACGCCTCCCGGGATCCCCTGGGAGGTCCTTGACCCATCTCCACCTCCGTTAGGGCCGGGTCTGCTAATAGCTGAACTCCAGTGGCTTTTCTGCCTCCCTGCCTGACTCCACTCCTGGTTTCCCACGATCCTCCTCTGTGCCAGGCCCCCAGCCAGGGCCTGGTGCTGGGCACACAATGGGCGCAGAGGGTTGGGGGAGTGGGGACAGATCTGGCAGTGTACGCGGCAAGTGCTCCAACAGGCCTCAATCCAGGAAGGCTCCCCGGAGGAGGTGACCTTCAAGTTAGGCCTGAGGGCATGTGAGGAGGCTGGGGCAGTGGGGGGAGAGGCGGGGCCTGGGCCTCCATGCTGAGGTGCCCGTGTAAAGAGCCAGCCTGACATTACCCACCCGAACACCACACTGACAGCTGCAAAATAGCCCCAACCCTGGGCCCTCCCTTTTGGTCCAACCTCAGTTCCAGGACCCCTTTCCCATCGAACTGCATCACTTGTCTTCATCTGGGCATCCTGGTTTTGCCCACCTGGTTCCTCCTCCCTGGGGGTCTCCCCTTCCTTTCCACCTTCCAGCTCACTTTCGCCCGGCCTGTCTCGCAAGGCTGCTCCCGACCAGGAGTGTCGCCCCCACCACTGGCCAAATCCTGCCCATTTTCTCAAATCCATGAGAGCCTCTCCTCGGGCCTTCTGCCAGTCTTTCTGGGTCAGGCTTCTCAGCAAAGCCCCCAGGTGGACCAGACTCACATCCTGGAGGGGGGCCATTAACCGCTCGGCCTCCTCTGCTTCCTCATCTGTGAACTGGGGGCCGCCATGCCCACCTCCCTGGCTTGTGGGGAATAACAGAAAATAGCAACGGGGACAGTTTCCCTTTTCTAACCCCTTCCCACCTAGCACACAGGAAGTGCCAGACTCTTGCCTGAGTGACAGCAGAAGCCACAGCAGAGATAGGGGAAGTGGGAGGTGACCCAAGTTCACCTCCGGCCAGGGCGGTGTTTGTCAACAGGAGGTTTGCTGGAGGAAGGGTTTACCCAATCCCTTGTCGCAAGGCCCTGTATCACTGGGGCTCGGCAGCGCTGTTATAACCTCCCTGGGAAGTGGGCGGGTCTGCAATTACTGTCCCCATTTGAAACTTGTGGAAACTGAGTCCCATAGAAATTGGGGGCTTCGCCCAGAGATTAGAATAGATCTAGACACTCGGGGTCTTTGGGATGCAAGGAGGGGTCCAGGTTGGCATGGAGAGGGCACAGTCGCTAGGGAGCTGGAAGCAAGGGTGAGGCACGCCCTAGGGCCAAGCCGGGTCACGTGATAACTGAGGTCTGCCACCACGTGGGCTGGGCTGGGCGGTACAGTTTCCTCTGGCCCCGCCAGGCCTGCAACAGTCACAGGTCGCCCCCACCCACTGACCCCGAGGTCCCTCCCCCTGGTGGTGGAGCCCAGACCACAGTTCCTGGTGGCCTCTTCCAGGGACAGGTGAGCCGCTGGAGGGCATGCAGGGCCCCTCCTCCCTGGCACCTCCCAGGTAAGCGGTGGGATCCGGGTGTTTTTCCAAGGGCGGTGCCCTCGTCCTCTGCCCCAGCGAGTTCCTCTGCAGCCTGGGAGCTCCACCCCTCCAAGTTTCTTTGGGCCCCTGACCACTGGGTGGTAATTTCCCTCCTCAGTTCTCCAGGGTTTGACTCTCTCAGGAGGGATGGGGCCAGAACTGCAGCCCTCAGCCCACAGCTGGCCCTGGGGCACCCGGGAGAGGGCAGTGTGTGCCCTGACCGGAATGGGAACGGACTGGGGGGCTGGGTTGCGTAGGCCGGTACCACTGACTGCAAGTGAGGTAGTAGTAGATCCGGGGGGGGGTGATGGGGGGGGGTCCAAGGGCTCCCTGAGTAGCTGCCACCCCTGGGCTAAGGGTGGGCTGCAGCTCTTCCTGGACAGCAGCTTCCTCCAGAAGACAGGACTCGCTTCCGGCTGGGGTGGGGTTCCTGGAAAGGGCCCCACCCTGCTCCTCCCCACCTGGCTCAGGGCTCAGGAATGGTGCGCCCCAGAAACTCACCAGACCTGCCCTGGCCTGGGGTAAAATGCCAGGGCACCAGGTACTAGTTGGAAGTAAGTCCTGGGCAGTGCCCAGGTGGGCTTAGGTGAGCCCCCATCCTCCCGGAAAGGAAGCCTGGGTCCCAGGCCCAGCCTGTGAGCACCTGTTCCTAGCTTCCTCCTCCTCCCCTCCACACGGCCACCTGCCTGCCTGTGTGGAGAAGGGGTGTGTTGGGAGGCCTGTGGATCTGGGCACGGGTGGGTCTGTCTGAAGGGATTCGAGCTCTAGGAACTGGATTGGGGAGCACACTTCCAGCCCCACTTCCAGTGACTTTCCCGGTTCGGGCTGAGGGGCAGAACCGCCTGTGACCCATCTCTCCTCTGGTTTCCCCACACTTCCTGCTGAAGGGACGGAGAAGGGGCTTGGATAGCATGGGGCCTGGGCTCAGAGACCGGACACCCCGGATGCCCCTAAGTAAGGACCTTGTCTGGGCATAGTCCCAGCAGGACCTGCTCTGTCTGGGCACCCCAGCCTCACGCAACGAAGCCCCCTGGAGCTGAGCCAACTTTCCTGAGTGCTGAGTTCTCTGGGGCGGGAGGGGACCGGGCAGACAAAGGGCAGAGTTCTGCAGGAGTCAGCTGGTGGCTGAGAGCTTGTTGTGCACACCCCACTCCCACGGGGTGAAGAGCACAGACAAGGCCGCCCTGGTTCCAGTCGTCCTGGGTGACGGCAGGGCCCTCTGCCCAGACAAAGGCTGGACAAAGGCGGCCTGTTTAATGCCCAGCCCCCTCCGTGCAGCCAGCTGCCCTGGCCTACTCACCCTTAGTGATGGAACGTACAGTCAGTCTCCTGAGAACTGTCGACCTTGCAGCGCTGGTGTAGTAACGGCTGTGTGTGTGTGTGTGTGTGTGTGTGTGTGTGTGTGTGTGTGTGTTGAGGGGATCTGGGTGGGGACAGCCTAAGGAGGCCCCAGGGCTGGGGTGTGTGTGTGTATTTCCTGTGAGAGGAAGCACAGTGGGGGGTTACTGGCGGCACAGGAAAGGTCCCAGAGCTGCTCTGACTTCTCACCAAGAGGGCCATGTCTCGGGGGCAGAGCCCCAGGGGAGGAGGGCTGTGTCCACAGCATCCCACCCCCTTCCCTAATCCCCAGGGACTGGCACCACTGAGCAAACCGATGGGAGCTGCCCAGACCCCACCCCCTTCCTTCCTCTCTTCCTCAGTCTGTTCTAGCATGAGGTTTATTTGGGGCCATTCACCTGACTGCATGTTTGGCAGGGTGGGGGCTCAGGCAGCCTGAGCTGTGAGTGGCACCTCCCACGGTCCCTGGGGAGCGGGGCTTCCGCTGAGTGCCAAGGCACTGAAGGCCAGCTTCGGTGCAGCGCTCCCTTGTCTCATCAGATGGGCAGCAGGAGGCTTCGAGGCTGCACACACCCAGGCTCTGAGCTGCTCTAGGTCTCCAGACCGGCTGGGCGCAGGCAGCAGACATGGCCCAGTCGCTGTCCTTTGTCTTCAATGTCCTCGACACCCCAGAGGACCAGGGGTAAGTGCTCGGGCTGGGGGGTTGGAGGGCTGGGATGCATCACCCCCAGGGCGAGCCCCTCTGGACCATGGCCTTACGGGAGGGCAGCTGCTGGCACCAGGACCGGTCAGCCGCAGCCCGGACTCCCGCCCGCTTCTCTCCCGGCAGCCAGGAGCCCAGCCCCTACGATGAGAGCGAAATGCACGACTCCTTCCACCAGCTCATCCAGGAGCAGAGCCAGTGGGCGGCTGAGGAGGGGCTGGAGCTGCAGCAGATGGGGTCAGGGACCTCAGGTGAGCCTGCCTGGCCCAGGCCCAGGTGGCGGGACGGTGTGGGCAGGGCACTGAACCCTCTCATCCTTCCAGGATGTCCTTCCCCGCAGTCTGCAGGCCTGGGACAGGGATGGGTGGGGGAGGTCACTATTGCTGGCCGCTGTGTCTCCAGGACCTCCAGGCAAGTCTTTCTGCTTTGCAGGCAGTGACCACCAGGCCCTCCTGGGGCCCGAGGGTGCCCTGGCCCACAGCACGGCCACGCTCCGAATCTTGGCCAGCATGCCCAGTCGCACCATTGGTGAGTGGGACTCTCTGGCCTCAGCCCCTGCATTGACCACAATCCCTGGGCTGGGCTGGGGTTTCCGGGGAGACCTGTGTCCCACAGAGCCAGGCCCTTTCAGCTCCCGCCCCAGCCCGTCTGCTGCCTGGAGGCCCAGTGCAGACCCATGCAGCCTGGCTGGGTTCTCAAAATGACTCCAGGGTCGTCACAGGGATAAAAATAGGCCCTTGGGAACCCAGTGGTGCCTGAGGTCTCTTATAAAGGGTTGTTCCTGGGTTCTGAGAAGGGGCGGGGCAGCCTCTGCCTTCATGTGAGGGTGGGGAGGGGAGGCCTGGCCTGGCCTGCCCTGAGCGGCGCCTCCACAGGCCGCAGCCGAGGCGCCATCATCTCCCAGTACTACAGCCGCACGGTGGAGCTGCGCCGCAGAGCAAGCCGGCCTCAGCTCGGGGACCTGGGGCGCTTGGCCCGGCCCAGCCTTCGTCTGTACGACCTGGAGCTGGACTCCACGGCCCTTGAGGAGGAGGGTGAGTGTGTGTGGGCCGGAGCCTCGGCAGGGAGCAGGGCAGGCTGGCCAGGGCGAGGGCTGGGGTGCAGCCGACCTAGGGACTCCTCCGCTAGCAGGCTGCCTGAAGCCCCTCAGCTGTGAGATCCCTTGTAGGAGCGCAGAGAAGTGGAGGGGCCTTTTGGGCTGTGAGGGGTTTGGCTTGGCACGCAGGCGCTCACAAACGTTTGCTCACACACTCGATATCTACTGAGAGCACTTGTAGCGTTGCAGACGCTGGTCTCAGCTTTGGAAGGTGATGATCCTAAGCCTACCGTTCTGGCACTCATGCAGCTTATTGTCTGCCCACTGAAACAGATGGGAACCAGTGGAGAAGCAGATGATTAAAGCTCAGATGAGGGCAACCAAGGGAAGGCAAGGCGGGGGGGGGGGCATTATGGAAATGTCTAACTTAGAGGATCCAGGGAGGCTTCCTGGCGGAAGTGACACCAGAGCAGAAGAGGCATGTGCAAAGGCCCTGAGGTGGGAGTGTATGTACCTGGCTTGTCTGAGCAGCACAGAGGCCAGTGCGGAGGGACTGGGGAACAGGGAGCGTGGTCGAAGGAGGGAGCAGGGCCCTGTCTCAGAGGTTGCATGAGTCCCTGACACATCCCTCCTGACTGTGCCCTTTGGACTCCGACCTCCCGAGGTCTTGGGTGCTTTCTTGGGGCCCTGCCTCTGTTCCTTCCCTGGCTTACCCAAGGCCCTCAGCTGGTGGGTGATGGGCAGTGCAGGGTGGTGTGGGCTCTGGGGTCAGGGTGAATGTTCCAGTTTTACTCTGTAAACCGGGCCAGGTGTTAGCTTTCTGGGTGTCATTTCTTATCTGTAAAGTTGGGGCTGAAGTAGCTCTCTCCCTCCCATGGTGGTTGTGAAGATAAAAGGCGGTAAGGAGGGTGAGCACCCTGGTTCTCACCCAGGAGCTCCAGGTCCTGCCCTTCACTCATCCCATGAGGACGGGCATAGTGGGAAGTGGTGGGGGGACAGAGGTGGGGTTGGGACCCCACTGCTGCTGAGCAGCTCATTGAGGGGTCAGAGCAAGGTGCATGTGGGGGCCCAGGAGGAGGGTGTGGCTCTAGGAGGTGGCATTGGGAGCACGCTGGGAACCTAATGGAGGTGGGCTCCGGGTGGAGGTGTGCGAGAGGATGGCTGTGGGTGTGAGGCAGGCGGGCTGAGCGGGTCTGGCTTCCATGGCCGGGGCAGAGAGGAGCCATCTGGGCCTGGCAGGGCGGGCAGAAGCCTGTGTAGGGTTGGGCAGCCCTTCCAAGGTCATGATGGTGTCCAGGGTCATGGCCACGGTGGCTGGAGGGAGGGGTGCTGTGGGGAGCTGACGGGGCCCCCTCATTCTCTTTCAGAGAAGCGGCTCCTCCTGGTGAAGGAGCTACAGGGCCTGACGGTGGCCCAGCGGGACCACATGCTCCGGGCAATGCCCCTGAGCCTTGCCGAGAAACGCTGCCTGCGGTCAGTGCACTGGCCTTGGGCGGCCCTGGGACCCGCTCCCTCCTGTGCTGGGTGCTGGGCAAGAAGTGTGCAGAGCCTGCGGTGGGGGGTCCCCAGGAGGGAGCTGGGGCCCTTCCTGGCCCAGCCCTGACGCTGCCTCTGCCTGCAGAGAGGAGACCCGGATCGCCAGGGGCCGGCAGGGCCATCGCGGGCTCCCGTCCTGCTGTAGCCGGCTCCGATATGCCTGTGTCCTGGTAGGAGCCTCCTGGGCTGGGCTCTGCTTTTGGGCCCCCTTTTGGGATGGGGCTGGCGTGGCCACCCTTCCTTCCTCTGCTGCCCTGCTCGTGGGGTCCCCTAGCCTTCAGCCTAGGTTTGGTGCTGCGAATGGCCCCCCCTCCCCTGGCAGCTCCCCATTGCTGCCCCGACACCTCCGTGCCGGGCTCTTGGGCTGTTGGCTCCGGGCATCCTCCGCGGAGGCCCCGCCCGCAGGACCTTCCTGTCACTGTCCCCACAGGCCTTGCACGACCTGGGGCTGGGGCTGCTCTCTGCGCTGCACGTCCTGACGCCGTGGCGCTACGCCCTGAAGCGGATCGGGGGCCAGTTCGGCTCCAGCGTCCTGTCCTACTTCCTCTTCCTCAAGACCCTGCTGGCTTTCAACGTGGTCCTGCTTCTGCCCCTGTTGGCCTTCACCGTGGGCGTGCAGGCCGCCTTCCCGCCGGAGCCCCTGGGCTCTGTCCCCGCCTTCACCGGCCTGGAGCTCCTCACCGGCGGGGTGAGGGCTTGGTGGGGCGTCCCCGTGTCCCAGCCTCCCCTGGGGAGACCCTCATTCCTGCCCTGTGCTGTGACTCCGGGGGGGGGCCGCAGTTAGCTCTCCTTGGGGCCCTGATGTCAGTGGGGCCTGGGAAGCCCCAGGACGGCCGAGGCCCTTTGTCTGCCTCTGTTATCTTTGCTGCCCCTGTCCTGGCCCGTCCCGTCTCTGCCTGCTCTCCCTCTGTCTCTCGAAGCCTGAGGTGGGTCAGGTGTGGGAGGGGCAGCCCCTGACTCAGCCGCTGCCTCCCCGCCTCCCCGCAGGGCCGCTTCACCGACACCGTCATGTACTACGGCTATTACAGCAACGCCACCCTGAACCAGCTGTGCGCTGCTCCGCCGGACGGCGGCCCGTGCATCCCTGAGGCCGGCGGCCTGCCCTACAACATGCCCCTGGCCTACCTTTTCACCATGGGCGCAGCCTTCTTTATCACCTGCATCACCCTGGTGTACAGGTAGTGGCCTCCCACCATGTGACCCTGACTCTGAGCGCCGTTGACCCATCCGTCCGTCCATCCACCCGTTCCTCCCCCCATCTATCCAGCTACCTTTTCATTCATCCACCCACCGTCTATTCAGACCCTTTCTTCCTCCCTTCCCTTCTTCCTCTCCCCTCCCCCCTCCATCCCTCTTTCTTCCCTCCTTTTTTCCTCCTCCTCCCCTCCCTTCCACCCACACTTTCCTCTTTCCACCCCGCACCTCACAAACACCGCCGTGCTGGGCTCAGGAAGGTAAACGAGCTCGGCGCCTGTCCTTAAGGAGCTTGCGGTCTAGGGAGGAAGACAGGCCAGTGAGGCGGCTGGGCCTTCGCCCAGGGATCACAGAGCACTGGGGGCGGGCCAGGCTGGCTTCCCAGAGCGGGAGGTTAAATAAGAATGGGCAGGGAAGGGGAGAGGAAGGTGTTTTGGTTGTCAGGAGGGGCAGTGCAAAGGCCCTGAGGTGAGCCAGCATCTTCTGCCGCCATGTCTGGGTGGGAGGCGGCTGGCCATGTCTGGGGAATGGGGCCCGACCCCTCTTGTAGCCCCTTGTGGCTGGTGGGCACCATATTGTACAGCGCTGATGCAGGGCCAGAGGTTCACACCCGGGGGCTGAGGGGGGGGCACGGGGAGCGCCGGGGGCTGAGCCAGTGCCAGGAGGGCTCCTCCAAGCTGGTGGTGGGTTTTGGCGGCAGGGAGTGGCCCGTCTGTCTTCTCCCTGGCCTCTGCGCCCCAGCCCTCACCACCCCCTTCCTGGCTGTTCGTCACAGCATGTCCCACTCTTTTGGGGAGAGCTACCGGGTGGGCAGCACCTCAGGGGCCCATGCCATCACTATCTTCTGCTCCTGGGACCACAAGGTGACTCAGAAATGGGCCTCCTGCCTTCAGCATGACAACATCCGCACCCGGCTCAAGGTGAGCCGCCCCGAGAGCCTGGCGCCGGTGCCCCCTACCCCGAGTCCCCAGAACACCAGTTTGGCCTGCTCGGCACCCGCCTACCCGGCCTGGGGTCTGCTTGTGACCAAACAGCCAGAGCCGTACTGCCCATGAGCCGGATGTGGGGTGTGGGGGTCTTGTCCTATCAACAGTGAGCTGGCAAGTGCTTCCCAGTTCCAGAGACACAAGTTAACCCTTGAATAGTCCTGGTTCTGTCTGTCTTCCCTCATGTGGGGCTGCCTCTCGTCTGCTGGCGAGTGTTAGCGCCCACAGCCCTTGGGCGTGCAGGAGCCATGTGAACAGGAAACTGCTCACAGCGGGCTTCGGTGGGCGTGCGTGCTCAGGGGGCCCTGTGATGTCAGTCTGTCCTCCGTCCTGCGGGGACTCAGTGTGTCCATGCACCCCCTCCCCCTGGGCTGGAGAACCGGGGGCTGGCCTTCCAGTGGGAGAGGGGTACGTTTGTTCTTGGGGCCTCTCCTGGAGCCCGTGTGCCCAGCGGGAAGAGGCCCGAGAGGCCCCAGCTGGCACGTGCTCCAGCTCGCCACAGCAGCCCAGGGTGGGGACTGTCGTCTCCCTGTGCTGCGAGTGAGGAAGCTGAGGCCCAGAGCTTCAGTCCCTTGCCCGAGGCCGAGCTGCGCCTCGTGGGAGGCTGTCTGCCACGCTGGGGTTCTGTGCTGTAGGATTTGTCAGCGGAACTCCCAGCTTTTGCTTGGCTTACAGGCCCTCACTGTCCTTAGGGAGCTCCCATGGGGGGGCGCCTGGTGGGTCCTGGTCGGCAGGATGGCCGAGGAGGCAGGGCTGGGATGGGGGAGGAGGGGCGGTGGGAGAGGTTGGGGTTGGCCTCAGGGTGCAACCTGACCGGGGTGGGGGCAGGCTGTCACAACGGGGAGCTGGTGCGGCTCAAGGGCCGGGCAGAGCCTTGGGGCCGAGTGCTGTGTTCTGTGCCTGGAGACTGGGTCCCAGAGCTGGTGGAAGGACAGGCAGTGCTGTTGGGGGGTGGTGGTGGGAAGTGACCCTTCGGTCCCCCAAGCCTCCCTGTGTCTGTGTGTCCCTGTGTGTCTGCGCATCTCCGATGGCTTCACTGTGGGGTGAGTGTGGCTTGCTGCCCTTGCAGGAGCTGCTGGCCGAGTGGAGGCTGCGGCGGGGCCCCCGGAGTGTGTGCGGGCGGCTGAAGCAGGTGGCTGTGCTGGGGCTCGTGTGGCTGCTGTGCCTGGGGATCACACTGGGGTGCACGGTGGCCGTCTACACCTTCTCTGAGTTCATGATCGAGGTGAGGGGCCTGGGTGGGCGGACACCCGCTTAGTTAGAGTGGGGCCCCTGTGACCGGGCATCTGCCCAGCCTGAAGCCAGCTGTGGTCCCTGCCCCCGTGCCCGGGCCTGGGAGCACAGGGTCCTGAGTCCCCGTTCCTGGAGGCTGCCGCCCTCAGACTTCCTTCTTTGTCTCCCCATCTGTCTCGCGCTCTCCCCTGTTTTCTTACATTTTCTTGTTTTCTCATTTCCCTTTTCTTTTTCTGACACCTGCGCCCTCGCCCCATGTCCCTTCCCTTCCTGTGGTTTGTGAACCACAGGTTTGAACGTGAGGCCTGCGGGGAATGCATCATGGGGTAGGGGGGTGCCTGCCAGTTCCAACCCCTCCTGGGACCCCTCCCCCACAGTCCCCCACCTCCAGCGCCCGTCAGCGGACCTGGCCCTGTGGATGGGGCGCCTGTGGTGACCACTGCCCCTCCACCTCCCTGGCAGAGTCCTGTGCCTGCTGAGCCTGAGGGGGCGCTGCTGGCCCTGCCCCTGGTGGTCTGCCTCCTCAACCTGGTGGCCCCCTACCTGTACCGTTGCCTGGCCGCCCTGGAGCGGCACGACTCCCCTGAGCTGGAGGTATACGTGGCCATCTGCAGGTGTGTCTGCACGGGGCAAGTGGGGGCTTCCTGGGGAGCAATCTCTGTCCCCCAGGCACCCCTCCCTCAACCTCCATGTCCCCCGCCCTCACAGGAACCTCATCCTGAAGACGGTCATCTTGGGGATCCTTTGCTACCACTGGCTGGGCCGCAGGGTGGGCGCCCTGAAGGACCAGGTGAGGGTGGGCTTGGGCGGGGCTGCCCTGGTCGCAGGGACGGGGTGCAGGGGTGGCGCCTCACAGCAGCCCCGCACGCCAGCCTCACCTGACTTTATCTAGTGCACAGGCAGGTTGGAGGCCCCCGGGCGGCGGGGCCCCAGGGCTGAGAGCCTGTCTGTTTCAGTGCTGGGAGAACTTTGTGGGTCAGGAGCTGTATCGGCTCATGATGATGGACTTCATCTTCACGCTGCTGGACACCGTCTTTGGGGAGCTGGTGTGGAGGTGAGGCCCCTCCGTGAATGCGGGGAGCGCAGTGGGTCCCTGCCTTCGCCGCTTGGGCTCCTGGGCTCCCCCACCCTCGGAAAGGCTCGGAGCATCCTCACCTGCGTGGCAGGTGGGGCCCCCTGGGAGGTTCTCGGACCTCTGACCCCCCAGATCAGGGCATATCTCTCCACGCACGACAGCTTTTGTAAAAAATGATCGTTAAACAGAAAAAGAGGAGACAGATGTAACCTAGTTTTAGGTTGGAAAGACAAACAGGTCTCACTGAGATGTGTGTAGTATAATCTCAGTCTTGAGCAGAGAGCAAGTGGGGGCACATGGCACAGGCTGCAGGCGGCACAGGCTGCAGGTGCCAGCACTGCAGGTGCTTTCCCTTCCTTCTTTTTGTGTTTTCTTCGCGAGCATATGAATTTAATAATAATATGGATTTTAAAACAGTAAAATGTTTGATGCCAGTTGTGCGTGTTTACATTGGGGTGTATCTGTATGTACTTAGTGAAAAAGGACTGAGTTGAAGCCGGCTGTAGCCTGGAACCCTTCAGGGTGGGGACCCCAGGCTGCCATCTCCCCTCGACATCAGCTGGGCACCCAAGGTGGGGCGGGCAGGGCAGGGACGTGAGCTTGGCGTGTGGGTCACCTGCAGGAGGTGCTGCTTTCCGGGAGTGGGGACTCGGGTCGGTCCCCGGCATCGGCCCTCCCTAGTCCGAGTGACCCTTGGGCGCTTCTCCTCCAGGCTCGTCTCTGAGAAGCGCAGGCGGGGGAGGCCTGAGTTCGACATCGCCCGGAACGTTCTGGAGCTGATTTATGGGCAGACCCTGACCTGGTGAGCATCTTCCGCTTGTCCCCACTGCCCCGCCCTGGGGGGGGGGTGCTGAGCTTCTTTGCCCCTTGGGGCCACAGCAAGACCCAGCCCTGAGACCCTGAAGTGACGTCTGCCCACTCCTGCTGCTCCCTTCCCAGGGTTCCGAAGCCAGCCTGGCCTTGGGGTACGGAGGGGAGGGCACGGGACAGCTTGTTCAACCCCGAGCCAGGCCCGGGGGCTGTCCTGGCCTTGGGGGGCAGCACAGGGGTCACGACCCAGCCTCTGGACTGCAGGCCCTCCTCTCCACCCCTCCCCAGGCTGGGGGTCCTCTTTTCGCCCCTCCTCCCTGCCATGCAGATCATCAAGCTGGTGCTGCTCTTCTACGTGAAGAAGGTAAAAGTGCCAGCTGGGCCCCAGGAGGGCTGTGGGGCCCTGGGAGTGTGGGCTGCAAGGGTGGGCCACTTGTCGGGCAGACATGGAGCCCGGGGACTTGGGGACTTTCCCTTGACCCCAGTGGTACGGGGCAGGCAGCCCAGGGCCACCCTCTGGCATCAGTCTCATGACCCCAGGAAACCCGCCGGCCCCCCTTCCCTGGCACCACTGCCTTTGGCCGGCTGGGCAGCACCCTGGCGGGTCCTTGGTCCATACTGGGTGCCCATGTGTGGGGCTTAGGGCCAGGGAGCTGGGGGATGCTCTGAGCCTCAGGCCCTCTGGCCGTGACAGGCGACCCTGGTCCTGTCCTCCATCGGGGGTGCTCAGCGGTGAGAACCAGGCTCTTCTCGCTGGCCTTCCGTTTCCTCATCTCCACCGTGGGGACAGTGCCCAAGGGGGACTGCCGGGGATGGTGTTTACGAAGCGCTGGGCGTAGTGCCTGGCCCAGCAGAGACCTCAGTCAGCGGAGGTGGTGTTGGGACCCACCCTTCTGTACACGAGTGACCCTGGACAAGCCACCCCACTTCCCCACGTGCCTCGGCCTCTCTGTAATCCAGGGGCCTGGCCTGGCTGGCTCTCCCCTCTCAGATTCCGGGAGTGTCTGCTGCTTCCCGGCCGCCCCTGTCCTGTGCGGGGCAGAGCCATCCGGTCCTGGGGCCTCTTTCATCCTGGAAGCCCCCACCAGGCCTGGGGGAGGGGGCGTGGCAGGCCCGTGGCAGAGCGCAGCCTTTGTCCTCAGATGAGCCTGATGGCCAACTGCCAGGCCCCACGCAGGCCCTGGTTGGCTTCCCGCATGAGCACCGTCTTCATCTCGCTGCTGTGCTTCCCCTCCTTCCTGGGCGCCGCCGTCTTCCTCTGCTACGCCATCTGGCAGTGAGTGGGCGCTGGCCTCTGGGGGCAGGGTGCAGTCAGCCGGGGATTTGGGGAGGTGCAGCCTGGAGGGTGGCCTGTGGCTGGCGGCTGAGGTGTGGGGTGATGTGGAGGTTGCCTTTGTCCGCAGGGTGAAGCCCTCCAGCCTCTGTGGCCCCTTCCGGACCCTGGGTACCATGTATGAGGCGGGCAAGGTGTGGGTGCGCCGCCTGGAGAAGGGGGGCCCCGGGGTCTCCTGGCTGCCCTGGATTCACCAGTACCTGGTGGAAAAGACCTTCCCCATCTACCTGGTGTCGGCCCTGCTGCTGTGAGTGCGGGCTGGGCGGGGCCCCAGCCACCNGCCCTGGATTCACCAGTACCTGGTGGAAAAGACCTTCCCCATCTACCTGGTGTCGGCCCTGCTGCTGTGAGTGCGGGCTGGGCGGGGCCCCAGCCCCCCCCCCCCCCTGTTCCCGCCGCCTAACTGCCGGTCTCCCCCAGGGCCGTGATCTACCTCAACATCCAGGTGGTGAAGGGCCAGCGGAAGGTCATCTGCCTCCTCAAGGAGCAGATCAGCAATGTAAGTGCTCCCACAGGCACCCACTAGCTCACCCCCAGAGCCCCTCCACACCTCCCCTCCCCTTGGACCTGAGCTGTTGAAAGGGTTTGTTTGCTGAATGAATTACATTGATGGTCGGGGCCCCAGTGGAGAAATGCAGCATTTTAGCGTGTGTGGCCCTGCGTGGGTGCAGACAGCCTCTGCAAGGATTTCTGACACTGGAAGTGGCTTGTGGACCTCCTGGGGACACAGGTCAGAACACAGACCCTGTTCAGTGCCCTCCTTGTGCAAACAAGTGGAGGAAGGTTAAAAGTGTGTTGGGATTTAAAACGTTTTTACTAAGCACATTGCAGTTTGTTATAAATGAGGGAGAGGCTGGGTGGGCCTGGAAGCCCAGGACCTCCACTGGACGGAAGCTGTCCCGGAAAGCTCCCTTGTCTGAGAAAGCTCCCTGCCCAGCCTGCCCCGTGTCACAGACGTTCTTATCTGCCTTGTTTACATGATGACTTTGAGGTTAGAGAGGAGGTAATTTGCCCAAGGTAGAGTTAGTGAGTGGGAGGGAGGACCAGTTTTCAATTGAGTCAGGCTGGCTCTGGGACCCTCTCTGTGTGGCTGGTCACATTTCCCTTTTCACCTTGGCCACGAGGAAGCATCGATCTATATATATGCCCACTGCCTGGCTCTGGGGTTTTCCTTGTCCTTGTTTTGGTGACTTTTCTCCTTTCTTGAACCGTTTTGTGCTTGTGATGTTGAATATTCCTTGTGAGCTTCCCCAAGTGCAGTCTGGAACAGGGTGGCTCTGGACCAACAGACGGATGGATAATTTCTTTTTTCTTACCCTTCGTTTGTTCTGGCGTTTCTAGGAGGGGGAAGACAAAATCTTCTTAATCAACAAGCTTCACTCCGTCTACGAGAGGAAGGAGAAGAGCAGGTGAGGGGCCCGGGAAGGGTCGGGGCTGCTCCGTGGTGTACGAGGGCCTTTCCCCAGGGGCGTTGTATGGCGTTGCGGGTGGGAGACAAGTGGCTGCTGGCTCCCTGGGTGCCCTCAACCTTTTGGGAAGCCCCTGCCTCCTTCCCCACCTTTCCTCCTCAGATGTGTGGGGCATTTCGGGGAGAGGATAGTGGTTAAGTTTGGTGAGAAACAATAGAAATGAGAGTTTCCTGTGGGGGCAGAGCTGGGTCTCTCAGCCACTCCCCTTTCTTTATAAGTCTGGGGGCCACCCTCGCTGGCCTTTCTCATTTCCCTGCCCCCCATCCCCCTACTTCCCATGGGGTGAAACCCCCAGATGCTGAGTCTCAGCCTTGGTGTTCTTGTGGTTAAGCCCAGGGAAAGGGAGATGAGCTCAGACATCTTCCTGCTGCCTGGACAGGTACGCAAACACACACCCCCTCCCCCCCGCTTGTGGGGGCAGGCCGAGGTCTGCGGGGCCCAGGCCCCGGCGCGCCTTCTGGCTTCCATCCAGCCCTTCACTTCTCTGGAGCCTTGACTTCGGGAGGCCTGACTGCAGCTCCTGAGGAAGGCTGCTGGCTGTCTGGACTCAGTTGGGTTTAAGGGACGACGGTTGGGCTCCCGCGTGGGCACAGCGGGCCGTCTCTGACTTCCCTTTCTGGCAGGGCTGGTAGAATGCAGGAGGCTGCGCCGCCCCCCGCCCTGCTCACAGAGGATCAGGACACCTGACAAGACGGTGATGGGCCTGATGGCTCATCAGCTCGGCCTGCATCACCCTCAGTTCCCACAGCCCTGCAGGCACAGACGCCGCCCTGGGCCTGTGCAGGCCCCCGTCTGGGTGATGCCTCTGGGACACGGGGAGGGTGATGAGACTACAGTCCCACTGAGGCTGGAGCTGGGACACCCCCACTGGGCCCTATTTATTCTGATTAAATATGTTTTGCAAAATGGGCTCGTCTGTTGGGAGCCTGCGCTCACGACCTGGGCCTGCCCAGGTGTGCACAGCCTACCTCCCGCTGTCCTGTGCACCACCTGCTGGCCGAGGTTGTGGGAACGTTGGCTTCTTGCATGTGCAGCCCCTTCTAATCTCTTCAAGTCTCTCCTTGCCATGCCAGGGCCCCACAGCTGCTCCCCAAATGCCCAGGACAGGAGATGCTCTGGCGTGTCTCCAGGTGCCTGGCTGTTTTAATGCTGACAAAACGAGCTGCAGCGCCGAGCGCAGGGCGCCATCTGCTGGCCGAGCCCCAGATGGCAGGACGGCTGCGTTACAGCCAGAGCCCAGGGGACCACTCAGGCAGGCAGAACTAGGGGTGGGTCCAAGGCGACAAAGTCAGCAACAGTGATGCTTTAGTAGTTATTGGGGTGGGGGTGTGTGTGCAAATTTAGGGACGGGCTGGGAAATGACATTTCCCAGGAGCCATTGGGAGAGGAGCCTGCTAGGCAGATGGGTAGGTGGTGCACAGGAAGGGGTGACCCCAGGTCTCCCATGTGAGGAGCCTGTGGGGGTGTGGGGACTAGGCTGTCACAGCCCCGGTGTCCAATGGCCACAGGCGCTGGGGGAACAGCCCTGGGTGGGGAATGGTCAGTGTGGGATGGGCTCCACCCTCATCTCAGCGTGAGGCAGTGCCCCAGCTGGGCCCACACTCATCCCAAACTGTCCCTTTCCGAGGATGGTCCCCTGGGGGTGCTGTTTGGCAGATGTCCAGGGGAAGGTGCCATGCACTGATGTGGCCCCGCAGGCTCACCAGGCCAGCATCAGCACTTCATCAGCACGTGTGTGTGTGTGTGTGTGTGTGTGTGTGACAGCACCACCCTTGGTACCCGACAGATCAGGGTCCCAGGGATTGTCGTGGCCGACCCAGCCAGGTGGCGCACAGAGACCTCTGCCAAGTACCTGGCACTGATCCTGGGTGGCATCTCTGGGCCAGAGCCATCCAGATGCTTTTCTCCTAATAGCCACGGATGCACTTTTGGATGGACAGACACTGCCTGACCGCTTCATTCAATGTGGCATCACGTTCTGCTCAGACTGACCAAACCCACTTCCTCTGCCTCGAAACAACCGTGAGGTCAGGACAAGCTACTGTGAAACAGTGAAAAGCCTGCGCAGGCTGTTTTTTCAGGTTTACCACATGATGGTCAGTTATCTCCTCAAGCACTAATCTAGGCATTGCTGTGTTTAATATCTACCATCAGTTGACTTGAAGGAGATTATCCCCAAAGCTGTGGGTGGGCCTGATCCAGTCATTTGAAAGACTTAAGAGAAAAACTGGGTTTTCCAGAGGAGAAATTCTGCCTCAAGACCTCAGCAACTGCCTGAGGCTGCGGCCTCCGGGCCTGGCCTGCAGACGTGACTGGCCAGCGCCACTGCTGTCTGAGCCCTTGTCTGGATGTACAGGGCACACCTCTCTCCCCTCGGTGCTGCTTCTGGTGCGAACGTGGCCCCGAGATTTCCAGCTGGAAGACCTCACCACACTCCTTCCGCAATGGGGCCCGTGTGTGGCTGACTGAGGGACGGCTGTAGGGTCACATGGGCCTGGATTCTGACCCCTATGAGCTGGTGGCCTTGGGCATGCTCTGTAACCTCTCTGATGGAGCAAATGACACAGCTCCTATACAGTGCTTAGCACCATGCCTGGCAGTTTTTCTGAAAACAAAACAAAATGCTAGCTATACTTGCCAGAAGAGACCAACTGAACTTGGGAATGGCTGTATTCCAATGGATGGGAGTTGACAGTGCTGTTTCAGCCCGATGACAAGGTCCCTCTGTGCCAGTGCTTCTTGACCTTGGCTGCTCAATGGAAGCAACAACCGGGGAGATTTAAAAACTCTGGTGCCTGGGGCCTGCTCCCAGAGATTCTGGCCGAGTTGATCCCTGACGAGGGCTTTTTAAAATTTTCCTGGTAATTGTAACACGCAGCCAGGGCTGAGAACCACTGCTCTGTGCTATATCTAGCATCCAAAATGTCACTTAAGTGCGAGGCAGTGCTGCCCACTTAGGGGGTGTGTAGGGACGCTGGTTTCTGGTCTTCACAGCCACTGGGCAGCCAGGCCACACCTGCTACCGTTCAGGAGACAGGCCCACCAGCAAGCCTGTCAGCGGTTTCTGCTGCGAACCCCGGTGGGCAAAGCTAGTACATTATTTGCATGTCTGCACTGTGATTCGTCCGTAGGTTTTTTTCTATTTTCTTAAAAGATTTTATTGGGGAATTGGGGGAGGGAAACAGCGTTGGGGAATTGGGGAACAGACAAGTTGCTGTCCTTTTGTTCCTCAGTCCTGCAGTGGAGGACGTTGCTTCACTGGCCCATGTTGGGTGTTATCATTGTGCTCTTCCCGGCTGAGGCAGATCAGTCGCCGGCTTCTGGACGGCTGCTCACAAAAGCTCACGCCTGCTGCCAGCCAGCCTCATGGCAGCCCAGCTCCAGGTCGAGCTGTTGTTCATCATCTTAGCTGTAGAGGGCGCAGCGTCACTGGCCCTCATGTGGGATCTGAACCGGGGCCCTGCTGCTCAGAGCTGGCGTCCCAAGCCAGCTCTTAACCAATGAGCTACTCGGCCGGCCCCGTAGGTTTTTCTTGATCCATCCCAAGTGTGCTTACTACTCCTGCCAAGATTCTTCTTGAAATGCGCATCTCGTCTCCCGTCTTTTCAGCGAAAGTGCTCAGCTCTTCAGCACCTCAGAGCTTGCCTCTGTGCCACTAGAATCAGTGCTCGCAATGACACCTCTCCGTGTCACAGCCCTTTCTCTGCACATCACACTGTTCCCCACTCAGCACCCTGCCTTTTGCTTTGCCATTCTCCATGGTATCGCCAGAACAATTAGAAAGTGCAGCTCTGAACCTGTCATTTTCTTGATTCCTGACACTGAGCCCCCTCCTCCCCATCACGTGAGACAGTCACTTTGGATCTTGGCTTCCTCTGTGTCTCCCCACCGGTCCCTTGCTTTCCTCAGTGAGTCAAAATCCAATCCAGGGCCGGCCGAGTGGTGCATTGGTTAAGAGTTGGCTTGGGAGCGCGAGCTCTGAGCAGCAGGGCCGCCGGTTCGGGTCCCAGATGGGCCAGTGACACTGCCCTCTACAGCTAAGATAGTGAACAACAGCTCGACCTGGAGCTGGGCTGCCGTGAATCTCTGGCAACGGCGTAGGCTGCCGTAAGCTGCCGTGAGAGGCCAGCAGCCAGTGTGAGCGGTCGTCCAATGGCCGGAGACTGATCTGCCTCAGCCGGGAAGAGCACAATCATCATACCAACATGGGCCAGTGAAGCGACGTCCTCCACTAGACTGAAGAACAAAAGGACA